GAGCACCCAGATCACACAGAGCACCCAGATCACCAGAGCACCCAGATCACCAGAGCACCCAGATCACCAGAGCACCCAGCTCACACAGAGCACCCAGATCACACAGACCACCCAGATCACACAGACCACCCAGCTCACACAGAGCACCCAGATCACACAGAGCACCCAGATCACCAGAGCACCCAGCTCACACAGAGCACCCAGATCACACAGAGCACCCAGATCATACAGACCACCCAGATCACACAGACAACCCAGATCACACAGAGCACCCAGATCACCAGAGCACCCAGATCACCAGAGCACCCAGATCACCAGAGCACCCAAATCACCAGAGCACCCAGATCACACAGAGCACCCAGATCACACAGAGCACCCAGATCACCAGAGCACCCAGATCACCAGAGCACCCAGATCACACAGACCACCCAGCTCATACAGAGCACCCAAATCACACAGACCACCCAGCTCACACAGAGCACCCAGATCACCAGAGCACCCAGCTCACACAGAGCACCCAGATCACCAGACCACCCAGATCACCAGAGCACCCAAATCACCAGAGCACCCAGATCACCAGAGCACCCAGATCACCAGAGCACCCAGATCACCAGAGCACCCAGATCACCAGAGCACCCAGATCACACAGAGCACCCAGATCACCAGAGCACCCAGATCACACAGAGCACCCAGATAACCAGAGCACCCAGATCACCAGAGCACCCAGATCACCAGAGCACCCAGATCACCAGAGCACCCAGATCACACAGAGCACCCAGATCACCAGAGCACCCAGATCACACAGAGCACCCAGATAACCAGAGCACCCAGATCACCAGAGCACCCAGATCACACAGAGCACCCAGATAACCAGAGCACCCAGATCACCAGAGCACCCAGATCACCAGAGCACCCAGATCACCAGAGCACCCAGATCACACAGAGCACCCAGATCACCAGAGCACCCAGATCACACAGAGCACCCAGATAACCAGAGCACCCAGATCACCAGAGCACCCAGATCACACAGAGCACCCAGCTCACACAGACCACCCAGATCACCAGAGCACCCAGCTCACACAGAGCACCCAGCTCATACAGAGCACCCAGCTCATACAGAGCACCCAGATCACCAGAGCACCCAGATCACCAGAGCACCCAGAACACACAGAGCACCCAGATCACACAGACCACCCAGATCACACAGAGCACCCAGATCACCAGAGCACCCAGATCACCAGAGCACCCAGATCACACAGAGCACCCAGATCACCAGAGCACCCAGATCACACAGAGCACCCAGATCACACAGAGCACCCAGATCACACAGAGCACCCAGATCACCAGAGCACCCAGATCACCAGAGCACCCAGATCACACAGACCACCCAGCTCATACAGAGCACCCAAATCACACAGACCACCCAGCTCACACAGAGCACCCAGATCACCAGAGCACCCAGCTCACACAGAGCACCCAGATCACCAGACCACCCAGATCACCAGAGCACCCAAATCACCAGAGCACCCAGATCACCAGAGCACCCAGATCACCAGAGCACCCAGATCACCAGAGCACCCAGATCACACAGAGCACCCAGATCACCAGAGCACCCAGATCACACAGAGCACCCAGATCACCAGAGCACCCAGATCACCAGAGCACCCAGATCACCAGAGCACCCAGATCACCAGAGCACCCAGATCACACAGAGCACCCAGATCACCAGAGCACCCAGATCACACAGAGCACCCAGATAACCAGAGCACCCAGATCACCAGAGCACCCAGATCACACAGAGCACCCAGATCACACAGAGCACCCAGATCACCAGAGCACCCAGATCACACAGAGCACCCAGCTCATACAGAGCACCCAGCTCATACAGAGCACCCAGATCACCAGAGCACCCAGATCACCAGAGCACCCAGATCACCAGAGCACCCAGAACACACAGAGCACCCAGATCACCAGGGGCACAACAGCAAACATTAGAAAAAGGAAGCTGAGAACGCCACTTGAAGTCTGAAGATTTTACAGATCAGACCCATCATCCATCAATCATCCATCCATCCATTATCCATCCATCCATCCATCAATCATCCATCCATCCACCCATCCATCCATCCATCATCCATCCATCCATCCATCCATCTTCCTCATCATTGTCGTCATCCATCCATCCATCCATCCATCCATCCATCTTCCTCGTCATTGTCGTCATCCATCCATCCATCATCCATCCATCCATCCATCCATCCATCATCCATCCATCCATCCATCCATCATCCATCCATCCATCCATCCATCATCCATCCATCATCCATCCATCCATCCATCCATCCATCCATCATCCATCCATCCATCCATCCATCCATCATCCATCCATCCATCATCCATCCATCCATCCATCCATCCATCCATCCATCATCCATCCATCATCCATCCATCCATCCATCATCCATCTATCCATCCATCCATCCATCATCCATCCATCATCCATCCATCCATCCAACATCCATCTATCCATCCATCCATCCATCATCCATCCATCATCCATCTATCCATCCATCCATCCATCATCCATCCATCCATCCATCCATCCATCCATCCATCCATCATCCATCCATCATCCATCCATCCATCCATTATCCATCCATCCATCCATCCATCCATCCATCCATCATCCATCCATCCATCCATCCATCTTCCTCATCATTGTCGTCATCCATCCATCCATCCATCCATCTTCCTCATCATTGTCGTCATCCATCCATCCATCCATCCATCCATCATCCATCCATCATCCATCCATCCATCCATTATCCATCCATCCATCCATCAATCATCCATCCATCCACCCATCCATCCATCCATCATCCATCCATCCATCCATCCATCTTCCTCATCATTGTCGTCATCCATCCATCCATCCATCCATCCATCCATCTTCCTCGTCATTGTCGTCATCCATCCATCCATCATCCATCCATCCATCCATCCATCCATCCATCCATCATCCATCCATCCATCCATCCATCATCCATCCATCCCTCCATCCATCATCCATCCATCATCCATCCATCCATCCATCCATCCATCATCCATCCATCCATCCATCCATCCATCCATCATCCATCCATCCATCATCCATCCATCCATCCATCCATCCATCCATCCATCCATCATCCATCCATCATCCATCCATCCATCCATCATCCATCTATCCATCCATCCATCCATCATCCATCCATCATCCATCCATCCATCCAACATCCATCTATCCATCCATCCATCCATCATCCATCCATCATCCATCTATCCATCCATCCATCCATCATCCATCCATCCATCCATCCATCCATCCATCCATCCATCATCCATCCATCATCCATCCATCCATCCATCCATCCATCCATCCATCCATCCATCATGACGTTACTAATCTTCAGGTTTGTTTTTCAAAGCAGACTCGATAACATTTAGGTTTCTGCCTGCAGGTTGCACAGTTTGTAGTCCTGTTGCTTTGCTTTCTGGGTTTGATACCCGACCAAGGTTCTCTCTGCATAGAGTATCCATGCATCTCTCTGTGCATCTCTCCAGGTACTCTGATTTCCTCCCACAGTCAAGAAATGATAATTGGCCTGTACTTATATAATGATTTTTTTCAAGTCAGAAGACTTGACAAAAGTGCTTTTTTACTACATGCAGTCGTGCACTCACACACAGATGGTGCTACAGTAAGTTACATTGTAGCCTCGGCTGCCCTGCGGCTCACTGAGAGAAGTCAGGCTGCCGTACGCTGGTCCCTACGGTCCTTTCTCGCCCAAGAACACAACGACAATGACAGCTGGAGCTGGGGATAGAACAGAAAACCCTTTGGTTGCAGAGCTAACTCCTGCATTGGATGCCACTGTTGCCCCCCACATAACTGTTTGCTTAATTGGTGTCTCTAAATTGCCCTTAGATGAGTGTGTGTGCATGGTTGTGTCTCACTATTGTCCAGCGGTGCATAAAATGATCATAAATGAAAGATTTAACCTCTTCTTAATGACAGAGCACATATTCTTTAGTGTAAGAAACACAAAAGATTAGTGTACATGTATCCAAAGTTGTTGAGCATTTGGACATGTTGGGGTCATGGTGGGGAGCTCAGGTTGAGACTTGAAATCTGCAGTCATTTGTTACTACGGCTGAATTTCTTTAAGCTTCAGTTGGTCAGAGTTCTGCTGCGCTGCTTCAGGCACTCAGGGCTTGGTATGCCATGTCTGCTGTGTCATCCTGCTACTGATGTATTCCTATTGTTTCTATGTTTCCGCTCCTCTATTCTGTTACGATGAGTAATCTTTGGTAAAACGGTGGCGTAGGCTGCAGGAGTTTGTCTTGACACCAGAGGCAGCTCCATCTGTCTCAGTCCTTGTGTCATTGGGCAGAGCTTCTCCCCCTTTGCCTGCTGATGGTGGACTGGGCGCTTCGTCACTATTCACAGCACCAGGTTTGGGACCTCAGCCTCTGTCTCCTACATGTTCTTGGTTACAGAGCTCCTCTAAAACCTTTTAAATTCTATTCAGTTTATTTCTATAGCTCCAATTCACATCATGTCATCTCAGCTCACTTTCCAGTTCAACCAGATCATCCAGTCAGATTGATTCAAAGTTTTCTATCTAAGGAAAACCAGCTGATTGCATCGACTCATTGACTCTTCAGCAATCCCTCACACTAAGCATGCTTGTAGCGACAGTGGAGAGGAAAAACTCCCTTTGAACAGGAAGAAACCTCCAGCAGAACCAGGCTCAGTGTGAGCGGCCATCTGCTGAGGCCCACTGGGGTTCAAGGAGACAGAAGCAGACGTAGAAAAAGAAGCATAGATACAAAAGGCAACTGTCAACCAGCACCTCCACTCCTCAAAGCTGAAGTCCAACCTGCAGCAGGATCCCCCACCCCCACCCCACTGCAGAGTGGTTCTCTGAGATTGTCTTTGTCTCCTCTCTGGGTCTCAGGGCCGTCGCTGGGGGATCTGTCTGATAAAAAGAAGAAGTTTGGGTGGTTCAGCCACTCCAATGACACTCACGGTGAGTCATTCTCCTGGGTTTGCATCGCAGATTTTGTAGAGGCCAAAATGTCCTACAGCAGCAGATAGACACGGGAAGATGGACCCTTAGGGACTTGGGTCTATTGTCATAATATGTGAATAATATGGGTAAACCGGGGGACATGGAATACCTAGGAAATTTGGGGCCCTAGGCAAAGACAGGCAGGGGCCCCTCTGAATGGAGAAGACAACACATAGAACAGCCCCATCCTACAGATATAGAAATGTTAATAGAATAGACATCCATTATCTGTTCTAGGTTGTGTCCCTCTCTTCTTGTCCCTTTTCTTCTTGTTTTCCTCTCTATGTTTTGTACTCAGCTGACTTTTCATGCTGTCTCTAAAGGAATGAAAGATTTTTTCCAAGCACTAAGCTCACTTAGCTGATTGCTCCTTCCTGTGTTTCCAAAAAGGCCAAAGTAAATAACCCAGTCCTTCTTTTCACTGTAGACAAGCCATGATCTGCTTATCTGTTCTCCATTTTTCATTTGGATGAAATAATAGCTGCATGAATCATGACAGCAGACAAGATAGAGGAGAGCAGGAGGCGGGGTTACCAATCTACTCGCTCTGGAGAGCAGAGTTCGCTGCTTTTAGATGTTGTCTCCAAAGTCTCCAGTAGCAGAAAAAAGTCTCTAGGAGCTTTTTAGAAATCAAAGTGCTAGAGGGGTCTGAAAAGTGGCTAAATATAGCGACTAAAGTGCTAAGTTGGCAACACTGCTCTTTGCATGGTTTGTTTTCAAATGGTTTGCTGCTGTCTGTTTGGACCTTTCTGAACATGTGCAGCAAATGGACTGATCCAATATGGTGGACACTGAGACTGAGACACTGAGACCAATATGGTGGGGCTGAGACACACCTTATAAAAGGATTTTTATCAAAAACATAATTAATGTGCACAAATAAGTAATAGTTTTAATAGTATTAACCATACATGTAAACAGAGTTTTATGGGGCCCCCAGGATGTAGGGGTCCGAGGCAGCTGCCTAGTATTGCCTAATGCTAAATGTTAAATCCCTCCCTTGGGAAAACTTTCCTCATATTCCACGTATCATGTTTGTCTGTCTCTCGTAGCGAGTCTTCCAGCCAGTGAAACAGCTTCGGAGAACACGGAGAACATCGATGAAGAACACACCAACTGCTGCCAGGCCTGCTGGTAACTACCAGGTTTATGGGATTTCTTTAAAAGAACATTAAGATTATATTTCTAGTTAAAAGCAGATATTTACATCCACCCTTTTTCTTTCCTCACCATCTGACTGGAAATCAGACAAAACTTCTTCTGTTTCTGATCCGTTAAGATTAAGAACATTGGCTGTTTCTCACTATGTGTACTGGTGCGTTCTCGTGTGGTCGTGAAACGTCATCAGCCTCAGCCATAGTACTGTTCCAATTCATAAGAACACAAAACCGAAGAACGGACAAAGTTCTGGCCCCTCCCTCTTTACCCAGCATGCATCAGAGCAGACTTGTCCTTTCTCCAGACTGACAGCTGTCCCAGCATGCACTGCGGCAGCAGCAGCTTCCAGGTTAGCGCTCACAAGCTCAGAGGATTAAGTTAAAAGTTCTCTTTTCTATTTCTGTTGTTCAATAAAAGTATTTTAAAGAGCATTTGAAGTGAGAATATTATACTTTAGGCTTCAATATATGACTCATTTACTGATTTAGAGCGTAATTTAAAAAAAAGTTGAGATGGTGAGAGGACCGTGGCAACCAGCGGACCTCTGAGTCTAACCACAGCCAGGGCTAACGTCAGCCCGTCTACAGCTGCCAGGGCTAACGTTAGACCGTCTGCAGCAGCCAGGGCTAACGTTAGACCGTCTGCAGCTGCCAGGGCTAACATTAGCCCGTCTGCAGCAGCCAGGGCTAACGTTAGCCCGTCTGCAGCAGCCAGGGCTAACGTTAGACCGTCTGCAGCTGCCAGGGCTAACATTAGCCCGTCTGCAGCAGCCAGGGCTAACGTTAGCCCGTCTGCAGCAGCCAGGGCTAACGTTAGCCCGTCTGCAGCTGCCAGGGCTAACATTAGCCCGTCTGCAGCAGTCAGGGCTAACGTTAGCCCGTCTGCAGCTGCCAGGGCTAACGTTAGCCCGTCTGCAGCAGCCAGGGTTAACGTCAGCCCGTCTGAAGCAGCCAGGGCTAACGTTAGCCCGTCTGCAGTAGCCAGGGCTAACGTTAGCCCGTCTGCAGCAGCCAGGGTTAACGTCAGCCCGTCTGAAGCAGCCAGGGCTAACGTTAGCCCGTCTGCAGCAGCCAGGGCTAACGTTAGCCCGTCTGCAGCAGCCAGGGTTAACGTCAGCCTGTCTGAAGCAGCCAGGGCTAACGTTAGCCCGTCTGCAGCAGCCAGGGTTAACGTCAGCCCGTCTACCACGTGGGACTCAGCTCTTTGTGTAAGTAAGTGGAAGAAGAAGAAGAAGGAACCTTGTTTGCTCAACCACCTTACGATGACCACATGAATTTCAAACATGTTTAATTTTCTCCCAACCTGACAATGGGCTCTATGCACAGCTCCACTACTTCCTGAATTTAAGGCAGCTCCTTTGCTTCCTTTCTTTCATTACTGGACGAACTGATTAATCCAGGTGTGTCTGGCCAGTTACTTAGGTCATACACACCTGGATTAATCAGTGCATCCAATCATGAAAGACAAGAAGCAAAGGAGCCTCCTGAAGTTCAGGAAGTGGTGGAGTTGTGCATAGAGCCTATTCCTGTTGGGGAGGTGGTCATTAGAGGCTGATCGCCCCTCGTTATCCCCTATATACTACACGACGCACCATTAGGCTGAAAGTCAGCCCAATCGAAAAATTCTTACACAACTGGGGATTCTGCCCAAAAAGGGCAAAAAATCGTGCAGTGTGTGGCCGGCCCAGACCATGGGTCAATCTCTCAAGAATGTGTTCCTTTGCCAGCTAGGGAGAAGGTCTCCTCTTGGTTACCTGAACAATCGTGGGTAGAGATAGAAATTGGTGTTGGACAACAGTACGTTACATTATTCTTATCTGCAGGGGGTCCAGGGTCTCTCCGCCAACTTCCTCTGGGAGTGGAGTGACAGACAGGTCTAAGCTGGTAGAACCCCAATCCAAGCAATGTTCAATATTCATCTATATTTCTGTTCATCTCATAGCTGTTTGGCACAACATGGTAGAGGAAGCATCAGGATCCATGCAGGTCTCTACTGGAAAAGCCTGAAGTTGACCGTTGCTGTTTTACATGAGCTCCATTAATACATCTGACAGTGACAGTCATCACCATCATCATTATCATCATCATCATCACCACCACCATCATCATCATCATCAGCAGCAGCATCATCATCATCATCATCACCACCATTATCAGCATCATCATCATCATCATCATCACCACCATTATCAGCATCATCATCATCATCATCATCATCATCATCATGATCATCATCATCATCACCACCATCATCATCATCAGGGATTGTGAGCTTTTTCATCCGATCATCCTGACTAACCTTAAAAAACAGGAAAGTTTATTCCATGATCATGTTTTTAAATGTCTACAGTAGAAGCTAGCTGTGCAGGCTGGCAGATTTTGCCACCTTCAGGCAGTAAATTAACTGTTTTTTGTGTTTCAGCTCTCAGGTGATGAAGATCAGTTGCTGGTGAGTTCCTGCAGATTAAAAAGTAAAAATTCACAAACCTTCTTGCCACTGAAGCTCTCGCTCTGTCTCAGCCGGGTGCTGCGTCGCTGGAATCGAGTTTGTCGCAGAAACTGTCGAACTGCCGTCAAATCGGTGACGTTCTATTGGTTGGTTCTCCTGCTGGTATTCCTAAACACATCCCTTAGTGCGTCCGAGCACTACAACCAGCCCGACTGGTTAACTCAAGTCCAGGGTAAGAAATCCTCTCCCTATGGTGCCACCTGGTGGCCGTGTTTCTCTCTGTCGATCCTGCAGATTGGTTCCAGAACAGCATAGATGTTGGATCTTCTTTATGAGGTACGGTCTCTGTTCTGCAGACATCGCCAACAAAGTTCTGCTATCTCTCTTCACGGTGGAAATGCTGCTTAAGATGTACAGCCTGGGTCTGGCACATTACTTTGTGGCGTTCTTCAACCGCTTCGACTGTTTTGTGGTGTGCGCCGGCATCATCGAGACCATCCTTGTGGAGCTGGAGATCATGCCTCCCCTGGGAATCTCAGTGCTGCGCTGCGTCCGTCTGCTGCGGATCTTTAAGGTCACACGGTGAGATCTGACCCCAACCAGCAGGTAGAACCTCTGCACCATCTTTCTACTGCTCTGGTCATTTCCCAGTATGTCTCCTCAGCCATTGGACAGCTCTGTCCAACCTGGTGGCATCCCTGCTGAACTCCATGAAGTCCATCGCCTCACTGCTGCTCCTGCTCTTCCTCTTCCTTATCATCTTCGCTCTGCTTGGCATGCAGCTGTTTGGAGGGAAGTTCAACTTCGACGAGACTCAGACCAAACGTAGCACCTTCGATGCCTTCCCGCAGGCGCTGCTCACCTGCTTCCAGGTGCCGTAGTGACAGCGAGCTTGTGGTGTCAAAGCATTTGGGAAGCGTTTCCGTAACGATTTCTGTGTGCTCAGATTTTAACAGGCGAGGACTGGAATGTGGTCATGTATGACGGCATCATGGCGTACGGCGGTCCTGTGTTTCCAGGGATGATTGTCTGCATTTACTTTGTCATCCTCTTTATCTGTGGCAACTGTATCCATGACAACAAACAATAACCTTATAAACTTATGATTTATACACCTACATGTTTATTGTTACTTGAATTACACGCCACATTCTGTGTTCCAATGTGCCTAACTAATCATTCATGCAGTTTGTCTGTCAGTCTGTCGTTCCATCCATTGTCATCCTCCTAATGTTTTAAACTCTTCCATCAGTTAACAACAGGATCTCCTTCAGGGTCTTGTGTCAGAAAGTGGGCGAAGTAGCGACTCAGAATAGGTTTTGAGGTAAATATCTGCATATCCTGGGTTTTCAGTTTCAAAAAGCTAGACAGCCGTTATCTAAAGTTCCTCTGTGAACTCTGGACAGTAGCAGGATTTCTTGAACTTATCCTGTGTTCCATTAATGATGGCTTCCTGTACTCCCCCTACACTTGGGCTAACTTGACTCAGAGATAAATTATGCAGAGGATTTTCCTGCCAAAAATCAAGAGCACACCTTTTCAATTTGATAGCAGGATTTTCTCCACCTTCATTGACAACTTGTAATGCTCACATTCAAGACTTCTGCTTTCTCAAAAAATATATTCTCTTTTCCATCAAATTTTAGTTTGTGCTTTCAGATCTAATGCATCTTGCAGATATTTCCTCATCTCGTTTCCTTTCCTCTCCTTGTGCCAAACCAGTCTCTGCTTGAGTTAGAGATACACTGGCAGACCTTTCGGGATGGATGGATGGATGGATGGATGGATGGATGGATGGATGGATGGATGGATGGATGGATGGATGGATGGACGGACGGATAAGGAGAGAATTTTGTGTTCAGGCCTGTAGATGGGTCGTTTCTAGAGTAGTTAGCCTACTTTTATCAAGGCTAAAATTGTTCAGAAATCTGAACTTGCATGATGATTTGCATATGGAAGACCATTGCACACAACTGGGTTAGAAGAAAATATTTGAGAATCAATTTTATTATGAGTAGGCAGTAACAGGGAAACTCAGTAGAAGAAAAAATAGAGAAGAAATAGAAGAAAACAAGCACACCCTTTCTATTGGCTGCAAAGGTTGCTAGGTGACGATCCGACTCCAGTCTGATAGAGAGCGGGGGGAAAAAACAGCAAAGTGTCTGCAAGCGTATCTCCGACTTGAGCAGAGACTGGTTTACACACATTAACTCAGATGTCCCAGTGAGTCCCTGATCTACAAGGAAAGTAAAATGTATCCTTAATGTGCGTCAGACATCCTGCTGAATGTCTTCCTGGCCATTGCTGTGGACAATCTGGCTGGTGGAGATGGAGATGACAAAAAGAAAGAGTGAGTCCTGCAGGGTTGAAGCAGCAAATGGAACACCTGGAGGATGAATGTTTGGTTAACCCAGGCTTTCCTTTTGCTCTTCTGTAGTAAGAAGGACGAGGGTGAGGTTGAGGGTGAGGCGGAGGCTGAAGGAGAAGTTAAGGTGAGCAGGTTCACCAGGAGGAAAGCTTTTGATCACTGAAATGTCTTCGGCGTATTTTAAGGTTTGTTTGTCTCTCCAGGTGGACATTGATGAAGATACTGAGTACGAGGAGGAAGAGGAGCTTCCTGAAGGAGAAGATGGTTAGTTCTTACAGGAGTGTGTCCTATTGAACTGATTCACTGACTATAGAAAACACTAAACTAGTTGAGCTCAGGATCTCTAAATAACCAAGATCCATAGCTTCATCTCTGCAGCTTCCACAAATCAAGCAGATAAATCAGTGCCTGTGATCCAGCGTTGGAGAAAATCTGACTTTCCAAGTCTGGATTCTGACTGGTTTGATGAGAATTTAATTCTGGGAGTTGAAGCCCCTTAAGAAAGACTTTCGGCATTTCAGAGTTTTAATCAGTGTCAAGGTAAATTATTCACCTCGATATTTGCACTCAGCCAATTTCTAGAACCATAAACTAAAACCGTCAATGAAAACCTTGCAAATATTTTGCTTTCCAGGAACTTAAAGGGTTCTGGGTCTATTAGTCTTCATATCAGTGGTGGGTCATTAGAGGAAAAGTGAATGCTACAAATGAGAGAGTCTTTCACTGATACTTTATGGAATGAGAAGACAAAAAGCCCAGACCAATTCCAGAATCTGTTCTGCTTCTGTTGCCTTGACTTGACAGAATGAGTTCTCTCTCAGTAACTGAGGTTTCTCCTGTCTTCTTCCCAGATGGAGGGGTGCAGCTGAAGATGGCTGATCTTGCACCTCCTAAAGAGAAGGTTCTCCCCATCCCAGAGGGCAGCGCCTTCTTCTGCCTCAGCAAGACAAACCCGTGAGTGTGCGACCACCTCGTCATTCTCTGACACCAAGACCATTCCTACCAAAGCTGATGTTCGAACAATAGACATCTTCACACAGAAGTTAAGGTAGAAGATGCTGTTGTTCTGGGCACCTCTTCAAAGTGCCCAGGTAGAGGATTCTTCTGTGGTCAGGAAAGTTCCTCTTTGGTCATAAAGGTTCCTTTTTGGTCAGAAAGGGTTCTTCTGTGGTCGGGAAGGTTCTTCCTTGGTCAGGAAGTTTCTTATATGGTCATGAAGCCTCCCCTAGGGTCAGGAAGGTTCCTATTTGGTCAGGAAGGTTCTTCTAAGGTCAGGAAGGTTCATCTTTGGTCATAAAGCTTCCTCTTTAAACACGAGGATTCTTCTGTGGTTAGGAAGGTTCCTCTTTGGTCAGGAAGGTTTGTCTGTGGACATGAAGCCTCCCCTAGGATCAGGAAGGTTTCTCTTTGTTTAAGAAGGTTCTTCTTTGGTCATGATTGTTCCTCTTTGGTCAGGAAGGGTCTTCTGTGGTCATGAAGGTTCCTCTTTGGTCAGAAAGGTTTTTCTGTTGTCTTAAAAATTCCTATTTGGTCAGGAAGGTACTTCTGTGGTCAGGAAGGTTCCCCATCGGTCAGGATGCTTCTGCTTTGGGCATTAAGGTTGTTCTGTGGTCAGGAAGGTTACTCTTTTGTCAGGTAGATTATTTTGTGGTCAGAGAGGTTCCTCTGTCAGTAGAAAGACTGGGAACCTTTGGAAGAGCAGAAACCATGATGAAAAGCAAGCTTTACAGCTTCTGGTGACGTTTTCCTTACAAGAACTTGGCAGTGTGTCCATCTGTCTGAAAGATCAATGTGTTGCACCCAGTTTTTCCTCATCTTCGAACCAATAGTGACTTAGAGACCCATTTCAGAACTACTGGGGTGTCCAGTAGTCCCAGAATATAAGTCCCGGTCTTATTTGATCAACACAGGTAGATCCCAACAATGCCACCATTAGCTGAACCTGACAGAACTCAGAATAAAAGAACCGGGACAAACCAGTTATTTATTGTTACAAAGTTGCTGTAGTTCTGGGGCTAGGTTGTTCCTCAACCCACAGAAACTTCTGTGAAGCTGATCCCTGAGTCCAGAGTTAAAGTTCTAGTTTCACATTAAGATCTAACCCTTCTGTCTCTGTCTACTTGTTTGCAGGATCCGTTTTGGCTGCCACACTCTTATCCATCACCACATCTTCACCAACCTCATTCTGGTCTTCATCATCCTCAGCAGCTGTTCATTGGCTGCAGAGGATCCAATCAGAGCGCACTCCTTCAGGAACAATGTGAGTCCCGTTAGTGTGATGTTCCTTACACTAATAGCCAGAGCCAATCATAGCTGAGAGGAGAGTGATATCACGAGATGCAACCAAACCACCTCTGGTTGGAACTGGGAAGGCTTCTGAAGGGTAGACCCAGGTCTACCCTGAAGGTTTCAGGGTAGACCCGGGTCAGTGATTAACCAGGGTCACACACAGCAGCTGTTGTCCTCCTTCAGTACACGTGCAAAAACGTCCCACCAAGCACATGACTGGTTTTCTTTGACAGTTTTTCTGCATCGTCTCTGTGTCGTTTGGTTGAATTGGAAACAGCAAAGAGTTAGCAGGGACCTCACAGAGAGCTAACAAAGAGCTAGCAGGGACATAAGAGAGACCTCTGGGTCTAATATGGTGGACTGCGTCTAAACATCTAAACTCTTTCGTTCTTAAGTGCTCTCTCCTCACCTTTCTAGAGTCCTGCGGATCTACAATGAGTCAGATCAAATTCTTACTTATATTTCCCGAACTTCATTGTGTTTCCTGTTCACATTGAACTTCCTGTGTTCGTAGATCCTTGGCTATGCTGACTATGCCTTCACCTCCATCTTCACTGTGGAGATCCTGCTGAAGGTAAAGTTCAGCTGAGAGAAGAGCTTCACTAAGAGCTTCTCCTGCTTACTCTGACATTGTTTGTGTGTCTCTCTCAGATGACGGTCCACGGAGCGTTCCTCCATCAGGGCTCCTTCTGCAGGAACTGGTTTAACCTTTTGGACCTTTTGGTCGTCAGCGTCTCACTCGTCTCCTTCTTCTTGCAGTCAGTATCTATATTTCTACTTCCTTTCATGAAGGGTTTCTACAGTCTTACTCTGACCTACAGTCTTGTAGGTCAGAATGAGACTGACTTTAAACATCTTTCTAGATGTTGTTATCCTTCAAAAACAGTTGAACGTCTTTACCTTTTACCACAGAAGAGATCACCATCGTTATGGGCTTATGTTCTGAATGGTAGTGGGTGTATCATCTATACTAACTGTAGATCTATTGTTCAGGTTCTATCAAGCTTAGCTTATTTACATCTGTTGTCTTTCCAATGTTCAAATTAATAATTTGTACATTAATAGGTTCTGGTAGTGAAGGAGGACCAGGTTTTGACTGTGAACCCACAGTTTCATCATGGTCTCACTCTTTTAGAAACATTCGGTGGGATTTAAAGTCGTAGGGAAATCATATTTAAATTTGCAACAGTTTAAACGGCTGTTTCCCTATGAGTTTTAAATCAGGCTGTAGGTGGAAAAGCAAACCAGTATGGCTGCCGATTCTGGTCCATAAGGCCCAGTTGACACCCCCAAGAAAAGGTTCTTAGAGCTCCATCCAAGCTTGCTCTGGCTGTACTCCAAAACTTATACCATGAGGACTTGCCTAGATTTTTGCCACCAGAGATCTTTATGTTTGCTCATTGGAGATGCTGGTCAACCTGATAGAGCACCCTCAGTCTGAATTGCAGGGGCCTTCTCCAGTTCTAGAGAAGACAAAGGTTCCTTCTACAAAAGAAAAAGACACCAAAGATCTTCTAAACTCATCTTAGAGGCTTTAACTAATCAGGATGTATGTATGTGGGTCCCACATGAGCCGAGAAGCTCTGGGCAGAGAAGAAACTCCAGGATCTTCTGTCATGATCTGGCCTGATAGCTCATCTTAATTGTTAATTTCACACACCTGCCTATCTCTGCGTGGTTTTCTAATTATGACTCATCTCATCCACTTGCGTCTGTTGCTTTGTATTCGTTTCAGCCCGAGCAATCAGGGCCAGATCATTGTTTTGCATGTTGTGTTCTGTTTGGTTGTTTCTAGTTTAGTGCCAAGGTTCGTATCCTGGTTCCTGGGTGCCTCGTCTTTTGATCCTGTTCTGGCCCTTCCCCGTAGAGCCCTCAGGGAAGGGGCGGTTTTATTCCCCTAAGCCTGGCTCCTAGGAGAAGACCAGTTTAAAGTCTTGCAGAAATCCTGGTGCCATTTCTTGTCTCTGTCCCTCAACCACTGAGCCTGCCTGTCTGCATCTGTTCGTGTCCGTCTGGGCATGCTTCTGGACTCTCTGGTGCTTTGAACTGGCCTGAGTGCTCTGCGGATTCCTGGAACCCCGTTCCTGTCTGTTCCTTTGTGGATCGGAACTCCTCATCGAGCTGAAGACTTCCGGATCTCAGAATTGTCTGGTTCTGACCTGGATCGGTCTCCAGTTTGCTCTCTGTGGTTGCTGCATTGATCGGGGACACGTTGGACTGCTCTGAGCTGGATGCCGTCAGGCAGTCCATCAGATGGATCCTGCCTTCCATCCAGAGAATGGACTGAACTGTTAAACCAGGTAAGTGACTCACTCTGATAATCATCTCCTGTCAGATGATTGTGGTCACTTACCTGTGTTTTTCTCTACAGAGTCAGTGATGGGTTGCGCCCTGCAGTCGCTGCGGTCGCAGTTCCACAGCCCTGCACTTCGGTTCTGTCTGTTTTTGTTTTGTAATAAACATTTTGAACTTTCTTACGGACCTTGAATAATGGGTCCATCTGTTCTGTTCCATGACATCTTCAGCAGGTTCAACTGAATTAAGTCCTGTCAGATCACAGCAGTTGGTGATTAGTGGTTCTTCTCTGTGTGTCTGCAGCTCCAGCGCCATCTCTGTGGTGAAGATCCTTCGAGTCCTCCGGGTGCTTCGACCCCTGAGAGCTATCAACAGAGCCAAAGGACTGAAGGTAACTCAGGTTTTCCTCAAATGATGAAGAAGGTCTGAAGTTCTTGGTTTGGTTTTGTATGAATGACCAACCACTCCAGACTATGAACGGAACCTTGGTTCACCAGTTGGATAAGTCTTTGGGTTGTGTCTGTCTTTCAGCACGTGGTCCAGTGTGTGTTTGTGGCCATCAGGACCATCGGAAACATCATGATTGTCACCACGCTGCTGCAGTTCATGTTCGCCTGCATCGGGGTGCAGCTCTTTAAGGTGTGTCTCTGCTGGTTAAACTAGGAACGCAGTCCTTCACTCCACTTCATATGTTCCTCTGCTTTGTTTCAGGGTAAATTCTACCGCTGCACAGATGAGGCCAAAAGCACTCCTGAACAGTGCAAGTAAGTGGAGGAAAGTCCGAGCTCAGCAGTTCCTTAAACTGGTTCTGGTCCAGTTCTAATCTAACCAGGTTCCACTGCTGATTCCAATGTCTCCAGGGGGACCTTCGTGGTCTACAAGGATGGCGACGTGAGCCACCCCATGGTCCGCCAGCGCATCTGGCTCAACAGCGACTTCAACTTTGACAACGTGTTGATGGGGATGATGGCGCTCTTCACCGTGTCCACCTTCGAGGGCTGGCCCGCGTGGGTATCCCAGCCTTCTTCAGCGATCCTCAGTAACGAGCTCTGACATCTAAACGTTTATCTCCTCGGTCCACAGGCTACTCTACAAAGCCATTGATGCCAACGGAGAGAACTCTGGTCCCATCTACAACTACAGAGTGGAGATCTCTATCTTCTTCATCGTCTACATCATTATAATCGCCTTCTTCATGATGAACATCTTTGTAGGTTTTGTCATCATCACCTTCAGAGAACAAGGAGAGCAGGAGTACAAGAACTGTGAGCTGGACAAGAACCAGGTCAGAACCATTCTAGTTTTCTTCTCTGCATTTACCCAGAGCTGAATGGGTTAATACTCGTAATATTACAACTTTTCTCTCGTAATTTTATGACTTTATTCTTAAAATGTTACGACTTTATTGTCGTAATTTTGTGACGTTATTCTCGTAATTTTACAACTTTATTGCGATGACTTTATTCTAGTAATTTTATAACTTTATTCTCATAAAGTTACAACTTTATACTCGTAATTTTACAACTTAATTCCCGTAATTTTGTGGCTTTATTAGGATAATTTTACGACTTTATTCTCAGTTTTATTACTTTATTGTGATAATGTTATGAATTTATACTTGTAATGTTACGACTTTATTCTGGAAATAGAAAAATAAATCTCTATCCTGGCCCTAATAATCGTCTTAAGTTTGGACCAAGGATGGATGTAAAAGTTGCAGGGTACCGGCCCCCAGGAACTGGAATGGCCCCCCTGGTGTAGTGTGGGTCAGACTGACAGGATGTAATAAATCTTTGCTGTTTTGTTTCTGCACTGGGCTCAGTCGTGTTTGGTATCTTCTACTGGAGCAGGTTATGTTCTCCAGAATCCTTGATCTGGAGTTCTGTCCTCAGTCCAATCCACCCACTGCAGGACGTTCAGTCTAGTTCCCTGTCCTTCTCTCCTCCTTAGCGTCAGTGTGTGGAGTACGCCCTGAAGGCTCAGCCGCTGAAACTCTACATCCCCAAGAACCCAGTTCAGTACAAGTTCTGGTCCATCATCAACTCAACTGGGTTTGAGTACGTCATGTTTGTCCTGATCCTGCTCAACACTGTTACGCTGGCTGTTCAGGTCGGTACCTTTCAGATGAATAAGAGGTTCTTTCTGTTGGATCAAACCAAAACCAGACAGATGTTTCTCTGCTGCAGCACTACGAACAGTCCAAGACCTTCAGTTACGTCATGGACATCCTCAACATGGTCTTCACTGGACTCTTCACTGCAGAGATGCTGCTGAAGCTACTGGCTCTAAGGCTGCGGGTAGGATATCCAAGGCATAGGAACAATCCCAAGAACGTCCTACAGAGCATTTCATTTATTCCTCGTCCTTCCAGCACTACTTCGTTGACGCCTGGAACTCCTTCGATGCTCTGATCGTGGTCGGCAGTGTGGTGGACATCGTGGTCACAGAGTTCAGCGTCAGTACTGCAGACCGCAGCTACATAAAAATCTTTACATTTTAAATGCCAACGATTTAATATGATCGACTTATATCTTTCTTTAGAGTGGCGAGGACAGCTCAAGGGTGTCTATCACCTTTTTCCGCCTGTTCCGAGTGATGCGATTGGTCAAACTCCTGAACAAGGGGGAAGGGATTCGTACCCTACTCTGGACATTCATCAAATCACTGCAGGTCAGAGGGGACTTAAGGACAGGAAGTTATTGAGGGACAAGGAGCAAACAAGGACAAGGAATAAAGGAGGGACATGGACTAGCTGAGGGACAGGGGGTTACTGATGGAAATGTTAATGAGGGACTAGGAAGTAATGAGTCACAGCAAATAAACAACAGACAGGAAGTTAAAATGGGAAGGAAGTGGATAAGAAACAATAAATTCATAAAACACACAATGGGGGACAGAAAGTTCACGAACGATATGCAGATTAAGTAAAAACAAGGGACAAGAAATGAAGGTACACAGAGAGTTAGTGAGGGACATGGAGGTATGGTTGTGCAATATGAAGAAATCTATTATCACGATATACTCACGATACATGGTATATATCAAGATATGTTTCAATTACCTTCAAAAACAACAGAATGAATAAAATTGCACTGATATACTCATTCAACTTATGGTTTTAAATTTAATTTAATTTTAACCAATTCAATTCTATTCAGTTTATTTCTATAGCTCCAATTCACATCATGTCATCTCAGGTCACTTTCCAGTTCACCAGATCATCCAGTCAGATTGATTCAAAGTTTTCTATCTAAGGAAAACCAGCTGATTGCATCGACTCATTGACTCTTCAGCAATCCCTCACACTAAGCATGCTTGTAGCGACAGTGGAGAGGAAAAACTCCCTTTGAACAGGAAGAAACCTCCAGCAGAACCAGGCTCAGTGTGAGCGGCCATCTGCTGAGGCCCACTGGGGTTCAAGGAGACAGAAGCAGACATAGAAAAAGAAGCATAGATACAAAAGGCAACTGTCAACCAGCTCCACAGGCGGCCCCGTCCAGGAAACACACAGCCAGGCAGACGAGCTCCGAGCCAGCTCCCATGTCAGAGGATGAAGAGAGCACATCCAGTTAGTCACAGTCAGAGAAACAGGACTACACTGGAAAACAGGCCAAGCTCCAACATCTAGAAACAAAGGTGTTGATGGAAGCAGCACAGCTGATATTTCTCTCCAGGATGGAGTCACAGCCAAACAGGAACAGACCAGATGAAGCTACTATGAGAAAAAGCAGAGAGAGCAGAACGTTAGAGATTGAACTAACAGATTCTGCAGAGTGGGAGAATAGTGATAGAATGAAGCAGAATGATGAAAAAGGGGTCCCTATGTCCTCCAGCAGTCTAAGCCTATAGCAGCAGAACTATAGAGATAGCTCAGGATAACCTGAGCCAATCTAACTAGAACCTCAGCTCAAAGCTTTTAACTAATAATTCTGCCACATGATGTCTTTGGGTGATCCAAGCAACCGAACAGGAAACAAAGCAAAAACATACAATACCAAATAAAATGCAAAATAAAAAAGGCTCTTTTGTGCATAATAAAAAAAAAAAAGTGAAATGAAAAAAGAAATTGAACTAAAATTACAAAAACAAAAGTGGAAATACTGTCCAAATATTAGATCATAACCAGAGCATCTCCAAACTATCAGCAATGATCTTTACCTGCTGGGAATTTTAAAGAAGCTCAAAAATTTATAAATTTAAAAACATTGGCAAGTTTAGAGAACGCCTGTCAAACCTCTGAACATCCCATCGCAGGTGTTAGAGCATCTAAAAAACATTTAAATAACGTCATAAATAGCATCTGTGATTTCCCTCCATCTCATACGGGATCGCTTTTTCAAACGATGAGGCCAACGCCATCGGCTTCACAGCTGATTTACTGAACGTTATAATAACACGCAGAAAATAATCCTGTTTGGAGGCGGGGTAAACAAGACTTTAAAAAACCTCTGATATATAGTTTATATGTAACTAGTGAATTTGGAAGAATGCTTTAAAAGTAAATAAATAAAACAAGCATCAGTAAACATCCTGCATGCAAACAGTGTAAAACCTTCAGGATGTTGCTCTGACATCTGCAGGCGCTGCCCTACGTCGCTCTGCTCATCGCCATGATCTTCTTCATCTACGCTGTCATTGGCATGCAGGTGAGCTCATTCACAGGGGGGACCTGCAGGGGGCGCTGTTTGGGGTTAGACACAAGCCGGGGGCCGCTAATTGATCATCTTCTCTGTGTCTGCAGACGTTTGGGAAGATAGCCATGCAGGATTACACCCAGATCAACCGAAACAACAACTTCCAGACTTTTCCTCAGGCGGTTCTCCTCCTCTTCAGGTCAGATCTTTCTTCATGTGACTCTTCAGTCCCGCTCAGATGAAAAAATCCCTTTCTGTTTATCCGTGCATGTTTTCAGGTGTGCCACAGGCGAGGCGTGGCAGGAGATCATGTTGGCCAGCCTTCCAGGTAAGCGCTGTGACCCGGAGTCGGACTACGAACCGGGAGAGGAGTTCAGCTGCGGCAGCAACATCGCCATCGTTTACTTCATCAGCTTCTTTATGCTGTGTGCCTTCCTGGTGAGGAAATCCAAACCCTCAGATATTCCCAGAGTACCCAGAATCACTCTGTCCAGATCAGAAGCTGATCTCACACCTAATTCTCTATTTAGATCATCAACCTATTTGTTGCCGTCATCATGGACAACTTTGACTACCTAACACGTGATTGGTCCATCCTGGGGCCTCATCATCTGGACGAATTCAAGAGGATTTGGTCAGAGTATGATCCTGAGGCCAAGTACGTCCCTCTGAGCTTCTGTTTTCTGTCTGTAGCCCAATTCAATTCTATTCAGTTTATTTCTATAGCTCCAATTCACATCATGTCATCTCAGGTCACTTTCCAGTTCACCAGATCATCCAGTCAGATTGATTCAAAGTTTTCTATCTAAGGAAAACCAGCTGATTGCATCGACTCATTGACTCTTCAGCAATCCCTCACACTAAGCATGCTTGTAGCGACAGTGGAGAGGAAAAACTCCCTTTGAACAGGAAGAAACCTCCAGCAGAACCAGGCTCAGTGTGAGCGGCCATCTGCTGAGGCCCACTGGGGTTCAAGGAGACAGAAGCAGACATAGAAAAAGAAGCATAGATACAAAAGGCAACTGTCAACCAGCTCCACAGGCGGCCCCGTCCAGGAAACACACAGCCAGGCAGACGAGCTCCGAGCCAGCTCCCATGTCAGAGGATGAAGAGAGCACATCCAGTTAGTCACAGTCAGAGAAACAGGACTACACTGGAAAACAGGCCAAGCTCCAACATCTAGAAACAAAGGTGTTGATGGCAGCAGCACAGCTGATATTTTTTTCTAGAGATTGAACTAACAGATTCTGCAGAGTGGGAGAATAGAGATAGAATGAAGCAGAATGATGAAAAAGGGGTCCCTATGTCCTCCAGCAGTCTAAGCCTATAGCAGCAGAACCATAGAGATAGCTCAGGATAACCTGAGCCACTCTAACTAGAAGCTTTATCAAAAATGAAAGTTTTAAGCCTAGCCTTAAAAGTAGACAGGGTGTCTGCCTCACAGACTAAAACTGGTAGTTGGTTCCACAGGAGAGGAGCCTGAGAACTAAAAGATCTGCCTCCCATTCTACTTTTAGAAATTCTAGGAACCACTAGTAAACCTGCAGATTGAGAGCGAAGTGCTCTGTTAGGAACATAAGTAACAATCAGATCTCTGATATCAGATGGAGCTTGGCCATTTAAGGCTTTATATGTGAGAAGGAGGATTTTAAATTCTATTCTGGATTTAACAGGAAGCCAATGAAGAGAAGCCAGGATAGGAGAGATATGATCTCTCTTTTTCATTTTCATTAGAACTCTGGCTGCAGCATTTTGGATCAGCTGAAGGCTTTTAACTACAGTTTGTGGACTTCCTGATAGTAAAGAATTACAATAGTTCAGCCTTGAAGTAAGAAATGCATGGACTAGTTTCTCAGCATCACCCCTGGACAGGAGATTTCTCATTTCTCCAATATTCCTCAGATGAAAGAAGGAAATTCTAGAGACCTCTTTGATCTGGGATTTAAATGACAGGTCCTGATCAAAAACAACACCAAGATTTTTTACTTTATTATCTGAAATCAGTTTAATCCCATCCAAATGAAGTGACTGGCTAATCAGTTTCTTTTTCAGAGACTCTGGTCCAAAGACTATAACTTCTGTTTTGTCTGCATTCAGAAGGAGAAAGTTAAGAGTCATTCTAGTACATACTTTAAACGTCAGATCCTGGTTTATGTAAAACAGCGTCAGAGTTTGATGACCTGTGAGAAATGAGTGACCTGTGAAACGTTTTGTGTTTTCAGAGGTCGGATCAAACATCTGGATGTGGTGGCGCTGCTCAGGAGGATTCAGCCTCCTCTGGGATTCGGGAAGCTTTGTCCTCACAGGGTAGCCTGTAAGGTAAGCAGGAGACATAGGAACTGCTTTCATGTACGTTTTTACTCACTCTAAGATTGGTTTAGTATTAGTGTTGCATCGATACCGATACTAGTATCAGGCGGGGCCCCAATCCAGCACTAAAATGGTGGTATCGGTATCGGCGAGTACCAACCAATAGAGCACCGATCCCATTTTTAGAGCCAAAAGTTTATTGAACTATTGTCACCCATTCCAGGTAGGCAATAAAAAGTTCTACTGGATTCCCTTTGTTTTAGTATTTTTCCTGCTTCACAAAGGTAGGCAGCAGCTGGACATGAAGCCATGATGGCGATTATTCTACATTCCAGAAGTTTGCAGTTCTTCATAGATACACACACATCAATTTGAAACAGATGGTATCGGCCGATACCGCACAGCCAGGTATCGGGGCCAAAGAACGGCATCAGCGCAACACTATTTAATATCACATGAATTCCACTTTGATTTTGAAAAGCACTGCAAAAACTATCTATACATAAGCAAACATTTCTTAAATGAAGTGTATTTCCCCTTAATTTGATTATGTAAATAAGATGATTTGCAGATGGAATGAGTATTTTTACTCTTAATAAAAGATATTTAGATTATATGCACTTGAAAAAAAGACAACGCAATTGTTTTTTCTTATTTCAAATGTAAATTGTATTATTCCATTGGCAAATTGTCTCAGTTACCTGCTCAGTTTAAGATAAAATGACTTATTTAGATTTCAACAACCAGTAGTTGTTCTTATATGATACATTTGAACAAGAAAAAAATAAGAAGATCATTTCTAATGAATCAGTGGAAAAAATGTGCTTCATGGCATAGTTTAGATTTTTAAAGGAAAAGTTCGGTCAGCGAGGAATAATCAATGGGTCATTATTTATACCTAAAACTAATATGTTTGCAGTGATTTAATGAATTTAGCGTTAATCAGTAAAAAAATAAAAATCACAATTTTCGTTCCGATCACTTAATCTGGGAGCAGCCATTTTTGCCCAAATATAGTAGCCCCTCCCTCCTGCCGTCTTCCAGCAGTGACGTCACGGTGCGGTAAGCCTAGCGCCATTCTCCCCGCTTTACAAGCTAAATCAATGGGAACTACTAGACACATCTGCAATCAACAACAATTATTGAAGATTTCCAGAGGACTTCACCATTGAAATTCACCAGAGCTATAGTGAAACTGACAATGCCCACGTGCATGGCAGCTGGATGCTGGAATACATCGGGGAAAAGTGAAAAAAAGAGTTATTCCACCTTTCTGATTCCTGATCCTCCAGAGCACATCCAGCCAGTCACAGTCAGAGAAACAGGACTACACTGAAAAAACCCGTAATATGTAGCCAACATTTGGAAGAAGAATGTTTTCAAGATGACTTGGATAATAGCGCGTTGTGACAAACACCAGATACAGCACTGGGACTTGATCAACAGCCGATACCGCACCGTGACGTCACTAACCAGTAGGTGGCAGTAGTGTTCTTTGACAAACATGGATGCCTCCAGTAAAGCACATTCACATGAAAATTGCTCTGAATTAAAAACACTGATCATTTATTGAACAGGATGGAATCATTTCACATTTAAAGAACTTACAGAAGTTTGAATTCTTTTCCTTTAAATTTCATCTTGGGAGGATTTGGGGGATAAATTCGTAGCCAGAACCTCCTTTGATCAGCAATAAAAATGAGAACCTGGATTGTAGAACCAGTCTCGGTGGTTCAGACATAGAAGTTTATCTTCAGCCCCTTCAGCCGCATTCATGAGAGATAACCCAGAAAAGTTTGACCTGATCATAAACTTCGACGGATTATTTCCATGTTCTCAGATCTTCTTTATTTGATAAAAACAGTCTATCCAGACAATGGTTCAGGGACGATGTCGTGAAGGTCCTCAGAGCAGAACCGCTCTATATACTACAACCCAGACCAGGCAGAGAAGGTGAGAACCTCACCCCTCCTCTTCCTCTCCCCCTCAGCGCCTGGTAGCCATGAACATGCCTCTTAATGCTGATGGGATGGTGACCTTTAACGCCACGCTCTTCGCTCTGGTTCGCACCGCGCTCAAGATCAAGACTGAAGGTAAGTGCAACAGCAGCCGCTGTTTTCTAGCTCTGGTTAATACTCAACCCCTCCCAGTTACAAGAATAAATCACAGCGTCATCTGTGTATTATCTGATCCTGTGATTATATGACATGGTAAATTATGTTGTAGTGTAATAAGATCTGAGTTAAGCTGGGTGTACACTGATTTCTTTGCCCTTTTTGGGCTGACTTTCCAGTTGCGCAAGAATTTTTCGATCGAGCGTCTTTCAGCCTGATGGTGCGTGGTGTAGTATCAGGGGGGTAACGAGGGGCAATCAGCCGCTAACGACCACCTCCCCATCAGGAATCGTAAGGTCTGGAGAAAATTAAACATGTTTGATTTTCAGTCGGCCGTCGTAAGGCGGTCGCAGGCAAATCACTCAGTGGGCAAACAAGGTTCCTGCTTCTTCTTCTTCCTCTCAGATATAAACCCAGCAGCATGGCGGGGGTGCAATGAGTGAAATGGAGTTCTTTCTGTCAAACTGACAGACCGTAGTAGCTATGTTTGCTCAGCCATGTCTTTGTCCAAATACGTCGTCTCCTTTTCTTTTTAGGGCTGAGTGCACATAATTGCACAAATATCCAAGGCAGCGCGTTTCACTCTAGTGAGCTTCATGTTCCTCTGCTACTCGTTGGCTTCCAGATAGACGAGTCCGAGTAGCGCCATCTCACTGCGAAGCTGAGACCCACCTGGTTTTTAGACATAGAGTGTGAGCAGGTAGATCGCATCAGAGCGTCGGGTCGCACAGCGTGAGAACAAACATCGTGAGCTATATGAAGAAACCGCAGGGTTTCGTCATACAGTGTGACTTGTGGCTGTGTGCAACGATTAAAAAAATCACAGTGTATGCCCAGATTTAGGGGGAGTGTGAAAATATTTAAAAAGGAAGAGCCCTAAGATAGAGCCTTGGGGAATGCCACATATGATTTTTGTGGTGTCTAATGTAAAGCTACCTTCTGACACACATTCCCTGTCCTTCAATGGGATTCAAACCAGTCCAGTCTGAACCAGAAAGGCAGACCCACTTTTTTTTTTTTACTTACTTTACTTTTTTTCAATTTTTACAACTTACATAGATATATACATACAAGCCCACATTTAGTCTGCTGTTTTCTTTTACTTACAATATAATTAAAACAACTTTTAAAATATGAGCATCAGGCTAAACTTTGGAGTAAAGCAGGATACATGATTAAAAATGAGTAACATACAAATATAGATATAGTTGGTAAATTAATCAGCAGGTCAAAATGGAGTGAAATAAGAATAAATAAATGAAAATATATAAATACAGATAAGGCAAGTTAGTGTTTTTGATCCCTTGCATGCCCGTTACAAATGGAGGGTTAGAAGAAGAATTTCACTGAGTGCCCTATAAAGGGTTAAGATGTGAACTTATAGCCTGTCTTTGACTCTGCCCCCCTTGGATGCTGCTCCAGGTAATCCTGACCAAGAGAACGAGGAGCTGAGGGCGATCATCAAGAAGATCTGGAAGAGGATGAAGCCGAAGCTGCTGGATGAAGTCATTCCTCCTCATGAAGGTAGAGATACCCCCCTGTAGGAACCTCAGTCTCTGTTCGCTGCTCTGAAGACTCAACCTTTGTTCTCTCCGTCTGCAGAGGAGGAAGTCACTGTCGGGAAGTTTTATGCCACTTTCCTCATCCAGGATTATTTTAGGAAGTTCAGGAAGAGGAAGGAGAATGGAAATGTAGCCGGAGAGTCCGACTCTCCAAATCCATCTGCTGTTCAGGTCAGTCTTTCTCCATGTTGTCCCTCAGTAACAAGTTAATTTACCAAATAAATGTGAGCTACTTTATTTTCATCAGTGTGAACTGAACTATGAGCTCATTCTTTTAGCTATGAACAGCGTTGTTAGTAACTCTGAGGAGGACAGAGCACCGTAAACCCAGCAGGAAGTGATGCAAACCAAAGTCTAGATGCAACGATACGTCATCATCGAACCATCAACACTACATAAAACAGCCATAAATAAAGGAATTTTAAAAATCACACAATTAAGCCTCTTTCCCCATGAAATTATCTGTTTAACGCATATTTTTCAGCAGTGGCTCGACCTGCTAACAATCAGCATTTGGCTCCCATCCCACTGGCAGAAAAAGCTGGTCTGTCCACTGCGTGTCTGGTGACAACATCACTCTGGGTTAGGGGCAGATTTAGGAAATTTGGGGCCCTAGCCAAAGACAGGCATGGAGTCCTCTGAACTGAGAAGAAATGTTAATAGAATAGACATCCATTATCTGTTCTAGGTTGTGTCCCTCTCTTCTTGTCCCTTTTCTTCTTGTTTTCCTCTCTATGTTTTGTACTCAGCTGACTTTTCATGCTGTCTCTAAAGGAATGAAAGATTTTTTCCAAGCACTAAGCTCACTTAGCTGATTGCTCCTTCCTGTGTTTCCAAAAAGGCCAAAGTAAATAACCCAGTCCTTCTTTTCACTGTAGACAAGCCATGATCTGCTTATCTGTTCTCCATTTGTCATTTGGATGAAATAATAGCTGCATGAATCATGACAGCAGACAAGATAGAGGAGAGCAGGAGGCGGGGTTACCAATCTACTCGCTCTGGAGAGCAGAGTTCGCTGCTTTTAGATGCTGTCTCCAAAGTCTCCAGTAGCAGAAAAAAGTCTCTAGATTTGGCGCTAGGAGCTTTCTAGAAATCAAAGTGCTAGAGGGGTCAGTGTTGCCAACTCCTCAGTAAGGAAAGTAGCTATTGGCTGTGCTAAAAGTCGCTAGAAGTCGCTAAATGATGTCATCGCCTAATTTGCATAATCTGCCACAGGAAGTGATATACATGTTATTGATGCTGTGGGAGAAATAATGTTATTACAGACCAAATAACATTTTACATTTACATCCCGCTCGCTCCCGCCTTGAATGTGAGTCAGGGCGGAGCGGCACCGCGTGATCAATTTGCGCCGTCAATCCCGGCGCATGCGCGCTTCATTTGCAGTCTGGACGCTGAGGGTAAACATCCTGCGGCTCTGACTGCAGCACTGAGAGGGACTCAGCGCTGCGGGAGAACGGGTTTGGGATGGGGGAGGCGCCCCACAGCAGAGTAGGAACGATACATGCTTTCACGTAAGAGTCTCCAAAAGCCGCCAGTGACACCGTAAAAAGTCGCCAGATTTGTCGCTAGTCGCTTTTTTGAAAAATAGTCGCTGGAGGGGTCTGAAAAGTGGCTAAATATAGCGACTAAAGCGCTAAGTTGGCAACACTGCTCTTTGCATGGTTTGTTTTCAAATGGTTTGCTGCTGTCTGTTTGGACCTTTCTGAACATGTGCAGCAAATGGACTGATCCAATATGGTGGACACTGAAGGGGGGGGCTGAGACACATTTAATATTATCAGCGTTCTGATGGCATTTTAGCCAAAGGATTTTTATCAAAAACATAATTAATGTGCACAAATAAGGAATAGTTGCATTAGCCATACATGTAAACAGAGTTTTATGGGGCCCCCAGGAACTCGGGGCCCTAGGCAGCTGCCTATTGTTGCCTAATGGATTCTGATGATGTCTGGACCTCTGACCAAGCATGATTGATGTCTGCTGGTTACCAGCTTCCTTCCTCCATAAACTAAAGAGACTTCTTTGTGTTGCGGTGCAGCTCTGTAAGGCTGGTCTCAAGACCCTGCAGGATCTGGGTCCGGAGATGCGTCTGGCTCTGAATGAAGACCTGGAGGAAGGAGAGGAGGTGGAGGAAATGATGGAGGGAGAGGAGTTGGAGAAGAACGCTGGCTATAAGGTGCTCCCCTCTGGTTTGCTGCTCAGTTTTATGAACGTTTGTTGTTTAGAGCAGGTTAAAGCTATGTTCTCATGTGTGTGTCTGCAGACGGAGAATGGATTTGGGGCAGAGAATCGACGTGGTTCCTTACTGACCCCTACTGGTAAAACACGGCATCACATACTACATTGCATTATGGGGTTTCCTAATGATACTGCCACCCGTAGCTTAAACGCTGTATTCAAATAATAAAAAGGAATTTAACTCAACCAAAGAAGCAAACTAATTCAACATAATCTTGTCAATTTAAACGCAATATGTAATTATGGAAATGAATATATAGTGGGTATGGAATGTATTTAGACCCCTTTAAATTTAAGTAATTTTGGAAAGAAAGGATAGGTGGTTTGAGAGGGGCGTGAAGGAAGCCATCTATGTTAAGAAAGTAAAACCAACCTTAAGACCATAGAGTTGATTCCTTCCTGCTATCATCGCAGCTCCAACCCCTTTACAGGGGAACAGAAGACCTCGCCTATTCAGGCAGGCCAACAATGAAAGTCTCTCTGAGCGAAACTCTTAACTTGCTCGGGGATCCAGATTGAAGGCTGTGGGAGTGGGGCTTGAACACAGAACTTCTGGATTCCAAGCTCTATGCCCTAAACCAGTGGTCTCCAACCCTGGTCCTCAAGATCTACTGCCCTACAGATTTTAGATGCATCCCTGCTTCAACACAACTGAATCAAATGATTGATTACCTTTTCAAGCCATTCATTTCATTCAGTTGTGCTGAAGCAGGGATGCATCTAAAATCTGTAGGGCAGTAGATCTTGAGGACCAGGGTTGGAGACCACTGCCCTAAACACTAGGCCATCACTCCCAGGCATAACTGTTCACATTGTCATAAGTATTCAGACCCCTTGCTCAGTATTAGATAGAAGCACCTTTTGAGCCATTACAGCCATGAGTCTTCTTGGTAATGATGAAACAAGTCTTTCCCACCTGGATTTGGGGATCCTCTGCCAATCTTCCTTGCAGCGTTGAGCGTTGGTGGACGGCCATTTTCAGGTCTCTGCAGAGATGCTCCATTGGGTTTAGGTCTGGGCTCTGGCTGGTTCAGTCAGGAATGATCAGAGTTGTTATTCTACCTGTGTGCTTAGGGTCATTGTCTTGTTGAAAGGTGAACTTTCGGCCCAGTCTGAGGTCCTGAGCAGTCTGGAAGGTTTTCTTCCAGGATATCTCTGTACTGTACATTCATCTTCCTTTCAATGGCAACCAGTCGTCCTGTCCCTGCAGCTGAAGATCACCACCATAGCATGATGGAGGCTTTTAGTATCTCCAGTCCAGGTTTATATTTTCTGAAACTCAGAGAAAAATGTTGCAAACTGTCTTTCTTAACAGCACTTCAGTTATGAGATGTCAACCATCATGACTTAGCCTTGGTCATTCTGTAAAGCTGGGCCCTTTGCCTGAGTCTTTTCATGGGAAAAAAGTATTCCACTATTCATTCCAGTTAAATAAACAGAGATCGATGGATTTCACTTGATTTTATCTTCGCAAAGGGAAAACAGTTCATCAAACGGGCCTTATTGGTAATCAGCCCTGTTCTGTTCTGTCCCTGTTCGTTCCCCCTTAGTTACAATAATGGAAAGTAGTCAGAGTCAAAACAAGTTAGAGACTCTTTGGTTAAACAGTAACATGTTATGAATAAACCTTGAGAAATAATCTGTCTTGTTATGGGAATAAGTATGCCTTGTCTACAAACACCCCTCACTCAGCCATTCTGTGGACTTGCAAGTGAAAATTTTCCCACTACGGTCTCCATGCTGATGTCCTCTTCCAATGTGAACTCCCGGGCATTAAGGATGTCTACCAGAACCAGGACACTTTGGATTCTGGTCTGACATCCACTGAGGTCCAAACAAACCAGATAATTGAATCAATAGATTTAGAAAAGTAGAAAATAGGAGAAATAAGAGTAACTTTGATTAGAAACAGAAGAGGGCAGCAGAGACTGGGTTCGCTACTGACAGCGATTGGGCTTTTCTTTGTAGGTGACGGTGGCATTTCTAATGGCAGTCTTATCCACCGAGTTGGCTCCCTCACCAAGATGGCGAATGGAAATGAACGCGACGAGGACCTTCGCCGTGGAGACAGTATGAGGTCATCAGCCAGTCGACATCGCCGGCTGTCCTTAAAGAACGGCCTGCCAGACCACACCCAAAACCGACCGTCGTACTACAAATATGGAAGGTGTGTCATCACGCAGTCAAAGTTCAGCCCTGTCCCAATTCCTCACCCTACGCCCCTTGATGACATGGGCACCTGCTGAAGAGCACTAAGGGTAATAGTGTGCAGGTTGTAAACATGTTCTGTTGGTCTGCAGGAGAGACTCCTGGAGGAATGGAGACGTGGGCGTTTACGGAGAGCACGGTTACTACAGCCGAGAGGAAGACAACGAGAGCGTCACTTCCAGAGACAGGTATGCTCAGAAATAAAAGCAGCCCAGTGGGGGTGGGGGGTGGGGGGGGTTGGATCTGTAAATCTGATTTTTTGGGTCATAGCATCTTGATTCATATGTTGCAGCTAATATACGCAGCGGTTGAAATAAGAATCATTTACTTTACCATTGAGTTCCGTCCCAGTGTTCACGGGGATGGACCCGACTTTACACGAGTGAATCAAGTGAATGTGATTGGTCGATTATCAACGGGGCGGGATTGTTGTCGTGGAAGGTTCACAAGCAAGTTTAGTTGTGACCGGTGTCTCGGAAGCATCTAGCTAACCAGTTAGCAACTTAGTGCTAGTAGGTAGAACACTGGAGCGGAGCTCAATGAGAAACAAAATAATTAGCTGCGACATATGACCAAAAAATCAAGATGCTATGACCCAAAAAATTTGATTGACAGATGACCGTTGATATATGATTGGCCGAATTTAGGTCTTCAGGCTGATGTATACCTAACTGTATATAGATAAAATTAATCATGAAGGGAAAGTCGAGTTTACAGCAGGTAACTAAAGAGGTCGTCACTGAAAACACATAAAATAATAATAATAATATGTAATAATAAAATAATAATAGAATCGCCAACCATTTGTTTACAGACATTACCCTGATGACTCCCACTACGGAGACCTCCAGGACGACCACGGCCCGTACACCAACGGTAGTTATGGTGACGGTTACAGCGAGGGCAGAAGGACAACTCGACGCCGTTTGCTTCCTGCCACGCCCATGGGTAAGAAGATGACTGGCAGCTGGTCACTGTGACATCACACCCAGTTGACATAGTCTGTCTTTGCTGATCAGGTCGGAAACCGTCCTTCAACATCCAGTGTCTGAGGCGGCAGGGCAGCAGTGATGACCTGCCGATTCCTGGGACCTACCACCCAACATCCCCACCACGCCGCTCTCGACCTCAGGTATCCTATCACATAGCCGGTGTTCTGTCAGACCAGCGTACCTACAGTCTATACGCATCCCTTTAGTTTTGTACAAAAAATAGACTTTAAACTACCTCAACGGGGTGTTTCCCTTTAGTCATGAACAAAAATAACTATTTAAGGTCAGATTGCCATACGCTTCCAAAATCAACAAAAACAGGTAATGAAATTGCTTTTTTCTACATGACTAAAGGGATACACGCCCATTGAGGTAGTTTAAAGTTTAATTTTCGTTCAAAACTAAATAAATAATGTAAAGGGATAAACAGGTATTGATGTGCTCATCTGACAGAACGCGGCCAGACACATGCCCACCTGTTCCTCAGGTAATCTTTGCTCTCCTCAGCAGGCTTTGGGCAGCTACGACTCCCGGCATTCCTCAGGACGGTCTGCAGCGGCGGCATCGGTGTCCTGGGCCAAGCCGTGTCCTCGCCGGGGACGCCTGCTCTACGCTCCGCTCATCCTGGTGGAGGAGGAGGGCAGCCCACCGTGGGGAGGAGGGCTGCACCCGGAGGGTAAGAACGGTGGACCAGTCAGAGGTGAGGAGGCAATGTTTCAGAGTAAAAGCTTGTTTTATTGTGAAAGGTGTTGCTCATGTTGCTTCCTGTGATTGGATCAGGAGCGGGAGAGGGAGCACCTTGGTACGGTGGCCCTGCTGGAACATCGGGTGAGAACAGATACAGACACTCTTCTTCCTCACCGGAACATTTAATGTCTGAGCTTGTCTAATAAGGTCATATAACCTTGCTTCTAGCTCCGCCCCCTTACAGAGCATACACCACCCTCCGTGTTCCCTCTCAGCTCGGCGCCCCATTCGCAGATAAACGAGGGTCAGCGGACAGCCTGGTGGAGGCGGTGAGTGACCATGAACGCTCACTTTTCTGATCCGATGAAACCGATGGTCTCAGTTCTGTTCTGGTCTTTCTTCAGGTTCTGATCTCAGAGGGGCTCGGCCTGTACGCCCGGGATCCAAAGTTTGTTGCGTTTGCCAAGCGCGAAATTGCAGACGCGTGTCACATGACGGTGGATGAGATGGAGTCGGCCGCCAGCGACCTACTCAGCTCTGGGAGCCATGACTTCCTGAACACCACTGCCGACGACCCCGCCGCACTCTACAGCGATGAGGAGCCAATCAGAACCAGCTGCGAGGAGGAGGAGCTAGCCGATGAAATGGCCTGCGTGACAACATTCTGAGGATCCAGGGGGCGGAGCATCCAAGAGCAACAAAGCTTTCAGCTGGCCAATGAGAGAGAAGAGGCGGGGCTTTTTCTGGGTGCAGATTAATAGGAGAGTCTTGTTCTTTTAAAGATCAAAAAGAAAAGGAAACCAAAACAGGAAGTAAGAAATTTAAGGAACTTGGGAGGGAGAAAGCAGCAAGCTAGTGGTTAGAGCAGTGCGCTGTGCTCTGAAAAGGTTGAAAGTACCCGGTTTAATCCCTACAGCCTGCACTCTGGGTTCCTGAGCAAGACCGTTAAGCCCACACTGCTCGCCGGGCGCCGCACAATGGCAGCCCACTGCTCCAGAAGGGGATGGGTCAAAACGCAGAGACTGATTTTCCCCTAATGTGGGATAATAAAGGGATTTACATTACATTAAATATTTCTGTAGCTGGTTTGAAAAGTCACTGGAAGTCCAAAAACAGCGATAACATTTAGCTAACGCTAACTGGAGCCGACTCGGTGAGGGAGCTGCTTGGTGACTGGTTGTCATGGTGACTCCCTCCCTCCCTGATGGAGGCCTGGGTGGTGCTTAAGCACCAAACTGTCGCTGTGTGGAAACTAAGCATCATCTGCCGGTGGCCTCACATCCAGATGTTTCTCCTTGAGCTCCGTACGACAGATCGGATTAACGGGGAATAAGAGTGTGGCCGTGTCTCTGTGAACTCTGGGCTCTGATTGGACGGAAACCTGTAAGTCCTTCAGCAAAGGGCAACACAGGCGACTACAACTAGACAGTTAAAGAGTTTAATCCTAAAAGCTTTAGGACCACCTTCACATCTCAAGCACAACATTCTGAGGGAAAACGTGAGAAAGAAAAGTTAAAACCTGGCAGTGACTGCGGGGAAACTGGAGGAGGGATCAGCAGGATGACCGGGTCCAGAATAATCCAAGGGCTGTGACCCGTTTAAACTTTGAATAGTGATTCCGATGAGAGGAAACCTGAGCTTTGGAATTCACTAAAACTGGAAGAAATGTTTGTTTTTGGTCATTTTTCTAAGTTTTACTGGAAAACCGTTTGGACATAAAAAATTCACGGGTCGTTCCCTACGGAGGCGCTCGGTTCGTTATCAGACACTGTGAGCAGAAAACTGTGAAAAGGTAAATAATTGAAATGCAGCTGGAGGTTAAAGTCGGGGATTAAGAGCCGGAAAACGCTGATAGATGGCCGCTCGCTCAGAGAACTATTAATTAATCTGCTCTCAGATTTAAATTCAGCTGCAGTTAGATCCTGTTTATGTTCTGTGTTTCTGACTGAAAGAAAAGACTTTTATTGGAAAATTATATGGACCTCAGTTTGTAAAGTAAGGAAGTCACAAATTAGGAGCAATATTTAAGGTTATTTTGAGTTATTTTATTTTAGAGCGTTTTAAAAGAAAAATAAGGCGGCTATTTTATTCCCAATGTAATTCATTTATTAACATCTTACCTTGTTAAATATTAAGTTTGGAGCTAAATATTTATTTAACAAACTAAATTATTAGTTTGGAGCTAAATATTTATTCAACAAACTAAATATTAAAATTGGAGCTAAATATTTATTTAACAAATTAAATATTTAATTTGGAGCAAAATATTTATTTAACAAACTAAATATTTAGTTTGGAGCAAAATATTTATTTAACAAACTATATATTTAATTTGCTAATTAAATATTTGTTTTGCAAATTCAATATTTAGTTTGCAAAATAAATATTTAACTCAAAACTAAATATTTATTTAACAAAATAAGATTTTTATAAATTAATGACATAATGAAAAAAAATAAACCCCTTATTTTTCTCTTAAAATATGCTAAATAACCATAAATATTGCTGCTAACATTTGACTGCTTAACTTTACAAACTGAAACCCATAATATTATGATTTAATTTTAAAAAATGTTAAATGTTTAAAAAAAAAAAAAAAAACTGAAACTGAAGACTGAAATTTTTTCTGGTACAGATTTTTTTTTTTTAGCTTCTAGAAATGAAAATTAGAATTTCCCCTCAGATCAAGCTGTAAAATATACAAATTTAGATTTAAGTTAGTTTTAAGGAGCTGGCTTTTCTTCCTGAGGAGAGAAGATCTCCTCCCACACCTGCCGTCTGTCTTCTTCTACATAAACCTTCAGATAGACGGAGGATGCAGCTCTAACTCGTATTTATCCAGCTGAATGTTTTAGTAAGAGCGTAGAGCTGCAGCAGGATAAGAGCCAAAGTTTAGCTGAGGTTACAGCCGATCTTCTCATTTGATCCCATTTCCAGCTGCAGGTTTCTGAAAAGCAAGTTTCTAAATAAAAACCTTTTTTTTTTAATGATTGAATCTCTCCTGTCTGACATGATCTTTGAATGCAGATAGTTAATAACAGGATAATGAAACCTTCCTGACCTGGAAGCTTAACCAGGAACAGGGTTTGTTAATCAGGAGCAAACGTCCCGTTTCTCAGCTGGTCTGAAGCTTCAGCCTCAAACATCAAACCTGACAGGAAGTGATCAGCTCCACTCTTTTACGTCCCTCAGAAAGCAGAATCAGAGGCTTGAAAAAACGACTGTGAGTTTCTATGGAGATGATGTCAGTAGTCTGTGTTTGACAGCTTTTGTCTGAGTTTTTGTACATATGTCATGTTTTTTATTCTGACTGTCGTGTGTTTTACGTCTCTTCTGGACCCTTTCCTGGCGTTGGACTCTATGGTTCTCATTAAGGGCTTTTTGTTCCTTGAGGTTCCTGCTCAGATGTTCTGCTTGGATCCTGTTTTCCTTCCAATAAAGATCCAGATCATGTCTCTGTTGGACGTCTCTGTGTCGTCTCCCCCATCGTTAGCAGATTTGTTCTTATTATCAGAAGCAGCTAGTTCTGGGCTTAGAGCAGGAAACACCAGCTAACCCCTCCAGGGGAGTATCTGGGTCACATGACGGCGGAGCTCAGAACCAGGACGCATCGACTCATCAGCTCTGACCTAACAGCTGCAGTCCCAGGACACCAGGTCCACAGGGAGAAGAGCAGGTCCATCAGGGACACATCCGACTTGGTTAGATCTGTTTTCTCATTAACTTTGTTTAGATGAGAGACAGACATTCAGAAAGGAACCCATCAGGCTCAGAGGATTCAGAAGCAATTTAACCTGAGAAAATTCCATAGTTTTAGCCTCACATACTTTTTTTTTTTTTCTATTCACTATTTTAAACTTGAGTAGTTGGTATAGCGGGAACTAGAGGACAGAGGTTATAAAAGTGACTACTAATATACTAATGTTGCAACGACGCCATTTTTTTGCCACTATACTGAAACCTGGCTGTGCAGTATCGGCCGATACCATCTGTTTGAAATGGATGTGTGTGTATATATGAAGAACTGCAGACTACTGGGATGTAAAATAATCTCCATCATGGCTTCATGTCCAGCTGCTGCCTTCCTATGTGAAGCAGGAAAAAGACTAAAACAGTGAATCCAGTAGAACTTGAACTTTCTATTGCCTACCATGAATGGGTGATAATAGTTAAATAAACTTTTGGCTCTAAAAAGCCCCGCCCGATACTGGTATTGGTGCAAAACTACTGTATACATTTTATTTCAAAAAAGTAAAAAAAAAAATACAATCCACTGAACTTGCACTGTTTTTCCAAGTTTGAAGACGTTTCTCTTCCATCCAGGAAGATTTTTCATTTCAAAATGTCAGAAATAGCGTTTAGTTCCAGGTTTTATCCAGCATCTCAACAAAGCCTGGTTTTAGTTTAGAAAACATGCAAATAGAAACGGATGAACGGGTCCCCCCCTTTGGAATGGGGGTCGTTTGGCTTCTTTGTTAGCCTGCAATGCCCCATACCTGTCTATGTCTCTGAAAGGGGGGTAGGTAGTTAAAGTCTTCTGTTCTCCTGTAAAGGAGTTGGAGCTGCAATGATAGCGGGAAGGAATCAACTCTATAGCTGCATTGGAGGTTATTGAAAGCTGAAATCTGAACGCCCCCCCGTTTAAGGTTCTTTTTTCTTTCTTAACTTAGATGGCTGTCTTAACGTCGCTCTCTAACCACCTGTCTTCTTTGTCCAAAATGTGAACGTTCTGCTCCTCCAAAGAATGTCCTTTGTCCATCAGGTGTCCAGTCCACAAAGCCCAGTGGCTTGTTTTTTTTTTTTACTTTTTGAAATGACTACAGTAGAAAGAATGTCATTTTTTTCTTGAATTGAGGAGGTAAGTGAGACACTTTTCCAATGGAACAAGAAAATTTACATTTAAAATAAGAAAAAAACTATTTAATTGTCTTATTTCAAGTGTATATTATCTAATTACCTTATTTTAAGAGTAGAAATCCTCATTCCATTGGCAAATCATCTTATTTACCTACTCAAATTGAGGGTTTATACAGTTATTTCTGGATTGTTTTTGCAGTGGATGACCTGGATGACTGAGAATCTTCACCAGCTCTACTGATTACAGTAATACAATACCAGTTAGAAAGAGTTCTCCCATCCACACATACTGGAGCATGAACTCTGGAACCCAGCTCTGGGTTCTCTTCTACTCTGGAGTGGCCCATGGGGAGAGGCGGAGGGCGGGGATCTGCCTGTCTGCCCGACGACTCAGTCGTCTCATTTTGGACGAGAGGGTTGCATCCCCTCACCTTTGGGTAAGGGGTGGGTCTCTGACTGTTGTTTCAGCCTAAGGGCCAATTAGGAGAACCAGACCTTCTTGGGGTCCCTGGAGGGTTTGTTGAAAAGTGTCCCTCCAGGGGAGTCCATATTTCTGCTGGGGGACTTCAATGCCATAGTGAAGTCCAGTTTAATGTGGAAAACACAGAAGACACAGAAAATTGGCTTTAGCAAAAAGCAAAGTTGGTATAATTGAATCACGTCCTTCTATGTTTGTTACTTACGGTCCTCCAGAGCACTTTGCTCCACAAAAACTCCAGGTTTTCCACTGGATCCCAGTGGCTCCTAAAGAAATCCTTCTCCTCTCGTTCCAAACCTGTTACTGCATTGGACCAAATGATAATCATTTTCAACATGTTTAATTAAAAAAAAGCTAATTTCTGATCTTTTCTTGTTGTTCCAGATACTTTTTTACTAAACAAACACAGGAGTCAAAAATTTGGAGAATGGAAATCAAATCTGAAACATAGAACAATTCTCACATTTTTGAAAGTATTATATATATATATATATATATATATATATATATATATATATATATATATATATATATATATATATATTATTAAACACCACTTTAGTACAAAACAAAGAGAGGAAAAATAAGAAAAGGGACAAGAAGAGAGGGACAAAACCTAGAACAGATAATGGATGTCTATTCTATTAACATATCTCTATCTGTAGAACGGGTCTGTTCCATGTGTGTCTTCTCCATTCAGAGGGGCCCCTGCCTGTCTTTGCCAGGGGCCCCACATTTCCTATATCTGCTCTCATATCATATTTCATTAATGGAAAACCAGAAGGTGATTAAAACAAATAGTCTCTAAAACAGACATGGCTACGGCTGGATGCTAACATGTTTGATAGCTGTCAGAATTCTGAGATTAAAGTCAGAATTCTAACTTTAATCTTTGAATTTTTCCCCATATTAAACAAATAAAATTTTAAAACCAGTTAACTTATTTTTTCCAGTGGCCCTAAACCTCTTCCATACAGATAAAACTGTTGAATTAAGGTAAACTTCCCTCCCTCTCTTCTTATTTGCTCTTGTTTACATTCCCTCTTATCGTAAATGAAGCCTGGCTGACGTAAAGCCCCTCCTCCTCCCCATCTCTCCTCTCCTCCTCAGGCTGCAGGATGGACGTCGTGAATCAGGTACCGGCTCTCAGCATCCTTCTATTATTTAGGTCCAGTCTGCGGGCTCGGGGTTCGGGTTCGGTTCGGGGAGGCGGTCCGTGTCCTGATGGAGCCTCGTTTAGTCAGGAGGCTGATCAGGGGAGCGGAGCGCTGCGGGTCCCGGCCTTCGGTGAAGGCTTGGTTCTGGTTCTGGTTCTGGTTTAATCCGTCTGATTCTAGCAGGGTAAAAAATATTCTCGAACTGGACTTTTGTTTTTTGTTTTTTTTTTTCATCCTGCGGGAATGACGTGAAATCACGATGAGCGCGCGCGTCTGCGTGTAAGATGGCAGCTGGTGAGGAAGAGGAGGAATCTTCCTCTCTGCTGATGGAGAGCATCTCCCGGTTCTGATGTTCTGACCCGGTAGCTTCAAACATGGGTCCAGATTGCAGTTAGTTCAGAACCAAGGCCAGTTCCTGGATCCCTGACTGATCCAGATCTAGAGGAACCAGAACAGAACCACCGAACCAGGCAGGATGTTTGGACTCGCTGCAGAAGGTCCAACCAGGGGAATCTGGTCCAATCCTTCAGAACTGGAGAAAACATTCCCAGTTTGGACCCGTCAGAACCATCAGAACAATTACAGGAAGCTGGACTCTCTCATTAGATCTTATCCCTGACTGGTTCTGTAGAAACTGGACCTGGAGGTTCTGTTCAGACATCCTGTAGAATAACGGACCTACAGAACCTTTAGGGGGTGAAGGTGGAAGTTCTGGTTTGCGGTTCTGGAAAGATCCAGGTCACCAGAACAGGAGGGAATCACCATAGCAACCAGTCTCATGGCTCGGACCTCACCAGGACTGAGTCGGATCTTGGTTCTGGTTCAGGGATCCTGGCCTCCAGCTGGTTCTGGTCAGCTGGGTCCGGTTTCTCTCCCAGAACCGGGTCCTCCTTTGTTTCCTGTTTGTTCCGGGTCCTCTTTTCTTTCTCCTTGTCACATTTAATTTAAATCTTTATTTCAAGTTCGGTTCTGAAGAACCGGGTCGCTCTTTTGTTCCGTATGAATGAAGTGCCACCTAGTGATGATGATGATCATGATGATGATGATGATGATGATGAGGCAGAAGAGTTGACATGGAGAGGAAGGGAGGAAGAGTTTGGATCCGAGTCCAGATTAGAGTCCAGATCCAAATCCAGAACTGAGTTCAGATCAGTGTCCAGATCAGAGTCCAGAACCGCGTCCAGGATTGGGTTCAGATCTGAACCCAGAGCTCAGTTTAAATCTTAGTCCAGAGCCAAGTTCAGGTCAGATTTAAGATCCAGGTCCAGATTCTGGTTCTAAGTCCTTCCTCTCACTCTGAGACACCGGATTCTTTCAGGCGTTCACCTGTAGAAGGTTTGGGATCAGCTGGGTGGAACCAGAACCAGAGTCTGGCTGGGCTGGGTATGTTCAGAGTCCAGCAAAAAGAACCAGATCTGTCAGATCGGAGCAGGTCCAGCTAAACTGGAGCAGCATGTGGTGTTACTGTGACTAAAGGCTGTGTGTCTGTTTGCTCCTCAGCTGATGGCCCAGGGCCAGTTCAGGATCCTGAAGGTTCCTCTGGGCTTCATCAAGGTCCTGGAATGGGTGAGTTCCTCTACATCATGTTCTGCTTTAACGTTTATTAAAGCTCCGCCTTCAAGCTGCAGCCCCCGCTATAGCAACCACCCTCTGCAACCAGTTACGTTACTTTGAAAAAGTCATTATAGTTACTAGTTACTTCTCCCAAAAAGTAACTGAGTTACTAACTGAGTTACTCCACAATAAAAGTAACTAGTTACTAGTAAAAGTAACTATTGCGTTACTTTTGCATTTCTCGCCCCCGTAACCCTCACCACCCAGCCCCCACCTTCTCGCCGTGTGTTTCTAAAGCCAGCTGAATAGAGCGGACGACAAAGACAAGAACCTGCAGAGAGTTTAGCATTTATTGCAACTCAACGTAAATGGCATCAGGGGGAACGCTATCTGACGGGCCTTTAAACCCCATCAGATAGCGTTCCCCCTGTTTAACAATTCAATTCTATTCAGTTTATTTCTATAGCTCCAATTCACATCATGTCATCTCAGGTCACTTTCCAGTTCACCAGATCATCCAGTCAGATTGATTCAAAGTTTTCTATCTAAGGAAAACCAGCTGATTGCATCGACTCATTGACTCTTCAGCAATCCCTCACACTAAGCATGCTTGTAGCGACAGTGGAGAGGAAAAACTCCCTTTGAACAGGAAGAAACCTCCAGCAGAACCAGGCTCAGTGTGAGCGGCCATCTGCTGAGGCCCACTGGGGTTCAAGGAGACAGAAGCAGACATAGAAAAAGAAGCATAGATACAAAAGGCAACTGTCAACCAGCTCCACAGGCGGCCCCGTCCAGGAAACACACAGCCAGGCAGACGAGCTCCGAGCCAGCTCCCATGTCAGAGGATGAAGAGAGCACATCCAGTTAGTCACAGTCAGAGAAACAGGACTACACTGGAAAACAGGCCAAGCTCCAACATCTAGAAACAAAGGTGTTGATGGCAGCAGCACAGCTGATATTTCTCTCCAGGATGGAGTCACAGCCAAACAGCAACAGACCAGATGAAGCTACTATGAGAAAAAGCAGAGAGAGCAGAACGTTAGAGATTGAACTAACAGATTCTGCAGAGTGGGAGAATAGAGATAGAATGAAGCAGAATGATGAAAAAGGGGTCCCTATGTCCTCCAGCAGTCTAAGCCTATAGCAGCAGAACTATAGAGATAGCTCAGGATAACCTGAGCCACTCTAACTAGAAGCTTTATCAAAAAGGAACGGACTAAAACTGGTAGTTGATTTCCCAGCTACCCTTTGACCTGCAGCAGCTTCTCAGGGACATGTGGTTCTGAGACCCAAATGAGACAGAGAGGAGCTTCAATGAATTTCTTCCTGGTGGAAACACTTGGCTCCGCCCCATTTGTCCCGTTTCTACAGGTCAGCGCTCTCGCCTTCATAACCCTCATGTCTTCTCTGTGCCCTCCAGTTCTTCGCCATCTTCGCCTTCTCCACCTGCGGCAGTTATTCTGGGATGTTCAAGGTGTCGGTGGACTGCAAGAACCTGACAGAGAGCAACCTGGGAGTAAAGGTTGAGTTTGAGTATCCATTCAGGTCCGATCATTTCTCTTCTCTTAGTGCCTAATTGCAGAACGTCATTCATTCCCTCCAGAACCGCTGTATGATTCAGACCAGTCGGAACCGGTTTGCTTCATCTTTTTGCTAACTCTTCCTTCCACAGGCTCCATCAGGTCTACTTTACGCCCCCCACCTGCACGGGGGGGACGGAGCAGGTCTTCCTGGTCGGCGACTACTCTTCCTCGGCTGAGTTCTTTGTCACCATCGGGGTCTTCGCCTTCCTCTACTCCACAGCGGCACTCAGCATCTACCTCTTCTTCTACGAGAAGTACAAGGAGAACAACAAGGGCCCGCTGATCGTAAGTGTCCCCCTAGGGTGGGTGATTGAGTCCCCCCTGTTGGTCTCACTGCGGTGCCGTTTCAGGACCTGGGGGTGACGGCAGCCTTCGCCTTCATGTGGCTGGTGAGTTCGGCAGCCTGGGCCAAAGGTCTGTCGGACGTGAAGACGGCGACCGACCCGGACGACGTCATCACCATGATCGCAGCCTGTAAGGAGAAAGCCAACACCTGCCGCGAGGTCCACGACCCGGTCATGTCCGGACTCAACACCTCTGTGGTAAGTTAGCCTGAAAGCTCCAGGCCCTCCAGTACGGAGGGTTAAAGGGGACAAAACTAGATACACAAAATACAATTAAATAAATAACTAATTAGTACATCAATAGCTTAAAGGGGAAAGAATTCAATAAATAAATACAAATTTGATGTGAAATAAATAAATGTTCCATTTAAGTTTGAAAGGTATCAGTAAATATCATTCCAAAACAGTTAAAATCAATCCTCTGGACTTTGTTTCAAAGTTTGAAGACGTTTCTCTTCCATCCAGGAAGATTTTTCACTTCAAATGTCAGAAATAGCGTTTAGTTCCAGGTTTTATCCAGCAGCCCAACAAAGCCTGGTTTTAGTTTAGAAAACATGCAAATAGAAATGGATGAACGGGTCCCCCCCTTTGGAATGGGGGTCGTTTGGCTTCTTTGTTAGCCTGCAATGCCCCATACCTGTCTATGCCTCTGAAAGGGAAATGTAGAGGGAATTGTTGGCCTGGATGGATAGGCGAGGTCTTCTGTTCTCCTGTAAAGAGGTTGGAGCTGCGAGGATAGCGGGAAGGAATCGACTCTATTGCTGCATTGGAGGTTATTGAAAGCTGAAATCTTGGTTTGTCTTTCTTAACATAGATGGCTTCCTTCACTCTCGGTGGTTTGAGATTGCAGAAATACAGAAATCAAGAAGAATATTATTTAATAGTATTACTTTGATTTAGATATTATAAGGTAATGGATATAATGTTTATCTATTTAGCAGATGCTTTTATCCAAAGCAACTTACAAAGTAGGCATTAGAGTGAAGGGTCTTGCTCAAAGGCTGGTTTATACTCAGAAAGGTCGTCTGCGGTTGCGTTGCAGTGAAAACAGATATGCCCCGCCCCCTTCCACAGACGCTCTGCTGCACCTCTCCAAAATTGTAGGTGAGCACAGACAGGAGGCCTCTGATTGGTCAAATCTACAAATTACTCTATGTGTATTTCCTGTTTGGTTCCTTGTTCTGTTTGTCTGACCGCCATTGTGGAAAACGACTGGTGAAGATGGAGCAGCTAGCAGAGCGAGGTGCACGAGAACGCTGGGACCCTTTTTCCACCTGGATCCCCGCTCTTTTTGGCCCTCATGTCCCTCCGTTGTCGCACAAACTTGCCCCCACTTCCTCACCGCCTCGGCCGTATCTAGACCCACAGCTAGTTCTGGCGTTGTGGCGTGGAATAACATAGAGCAGACCACGCTTCAATATTGGGCATAAATAAAAAATATCTGCGACAAGCTCACTGCGACACACTGCTGCTGGAGGATAACCTACACCAGCAGCTCATTCCCTCTAGAGGGGAATCAAACCCAGTGCAGAAACTTGGGTTTAAGATTTGTTCATAGGCAATCAGTTAGCGATTTTGGGATATTTGGCCTTGATTTCCAGTTCAAATCACTTTAACTCAATAAAACTCCTTTCCCACTGGCTGTAAAACCTGTTTAAAAACAGGAACAATGGCCTGGTAGTGTCAGTGGGAACAGTTCACTGACGTGTGTCTACCCGGGTCGCGTTAAAATCTCCTCGGCTCTGATCGGCATGCTGTGGGAACACCAGACCGGGATCGGCCCACCAAATTACGCGATTCTATTGAATGCAATGTACGGACTTCAACACACCGCGTCAGACGCATCCGATCTAACAAGCAGAAACATGATACACATGGAGCAACTTCCTTCTATTTGCTCTCCATTGTTTACTTCCCTGATTTCTGTTGCTCTGATGACATCATCAAGGCTAACCCAGCGTGAAGGTGTCACCAGACATGCAGCTGCCAGCGAGGGGTTAGATCAGCTTTTTATGCCAGTGGGAAAGCAGCCAAACGCGGATTGTCAGCGGGTCGACCTGTGCTTGAAAAACGCACGTTAACCCGGTATTATCAATGGGGCTCAAAACTCTTCTTTGGTTTTTACTGAGATGTATCACTAGTAAACCTTCTAAAAGGTGCAGGGCGGGGGAGGCTGCCACATCGGGCGAGACAGAGCGGCATATTTTGTCCAATAGGAGCACAGAACCAGAGATGCTGGATCCGGTTCCACTTGGTGCAGTGTGAACAGATGTTAGAAGTGAAACCTGTTTTAACCTTTGTCTCGTATAGTCAGACTTTCTTGGCGTTTTTGTCATTAAAAAGATGTTAGAACTGTGTTGCATTTTAAATTTGTTACAGATTATTTGAACTGATGTTTAGAAGTTTCGGGATTTGAGCAGGAATATCTGGATGAAAGGCGTCATTAGGGAAATTTTCTTTAAAAGCAGGAATGAAGTTCAAATTACTCCAGATATGGTTCTGGTCTAGATTATGTTTGAAACAGATCAGAGAAGCCGGAGACTGTGTGATGATTAATACAGATGTGAACGGCTTTGACAAACAGATCAAAGCAGAACTGATCCAGGAGGACAGGAAGGTTCATCTTATCAGGAAGGTCCTGATGTTGAGTATCTGTTGGGAACAGACCGATACATCCCCCCCTACTCTACATCTGAGATGTTCCTTTGAAGTTGAACCACACCGTCCAATGAAAAGGGACGATGCTTGATGAGCTCACTGGAGCAAAGCATGTTCATTACGATAATTAGGCTCCGCCTCTTCGTCTTCCTCCCTGCAGGCGTTTGGCTTCATTAATCTGGTCCTGTGGGCCGGAAACATCTGGTTCGTCTTCAAGGAAACGGGGATCATCGCTCCTTTCATGCGCGCTCCCCCTCCTCCGGAGAAACCTGCTCCGGATGCCTACGGCCAGCAGGGGGCGTACGAACCAGACCCATATGCCAGCAACCAGGGAGGCTACCAACCTGAATATAACCAGCAGGGGTACAACCAGGTGAGCCACAGAGCAGGTAACCACTAACCGAACGGGGAGTTCAAACATCTACTGATCTCTACCAGGGAAAAAAACACCTTTACTTCTCTCAGGGTTTTCAGACATTTGGGATTAGAACTCCTGAATGTGTCTGGATGGTGTAGTGGGAAAAAGTATTCAGCTATTTACCCCAGTTAAATAAACGGAGATTGTTGGATTTATTCAGTCAGAACTTTACTGCTCTGTAATCAGCCCTGTTCTGACTAGACAGAGTTTGTCTCCTTTACTTATGTTGACGAAAAAACTGTGAGGGTTGAGAAACAATTTGGCTTTTAGTAGGAATAAGTATGTTTTGTAAAAAAAAACACCCATCACTCAGCCTTGCAGGTGAAACAAACTGGGTAGAAACATTTTTCACTGGATAAATAGCATAACGAACTATATGAGACCAGAGAAATCTAAATTTTCCGACCACAATGGCCGAAAAGAAAAAGTGACTCAGTAACTTAGCTTGCTCCTTGGAGCTCTCCTGGGCTTCACACCACAGCGGAGCAGACATCTGGTGCGTTTGAATTTATGGGCCGCGTCTTCCAAGGACGCGTCTACCTGGACTGGATCCTTCGAAGCTCTTGAAAATAAGGAGACGGGAAGAGTTTTGGCTGTGAATTCTAACAGGTCCAGCCTTCCGTGGCTTTCACCGCCGTATCTCTGTCGCTTAGCAACCATGAAAGTTGACACACAAAGCAGGAAAAGAATTACCAAACTTTTCAAAACTGTTTCTTTGTAAGACTTTTTAAGACTTCACTCGTGAGAATCCAGAGTGGAATAAAGGTGCCAACCACCTGATGGTCTCTGATGGTCTCTGATGTTTCCTGATTGTCCGTGATGATCCCTGATGGTCTCCGATGGCCCCTCATAGTCTCTGATGGTCTCTGATGGTCCCTGATTGTCCCTGATGGTCTCCGATGGCGCGATTGTCCCTGATGGTCCCTGTTGGCCCCTGATGGTCTCTGATGGTCCCTGATGGTCTCCGATGGCACGATTGTCCCTGATGGTCTCTGATGGTCCCTGATGGTCCCTGATGGTCTCCGATGGCCCCTGGTTGTCCTTGATGGTCTCTGGTGGTCCCTGATGTTCCCTGATGGTCTCTGATGGTCCCTGGTGGTCTCTGATGGTCTCTGATGGTCCCTGATGGTGGCTCATCTTCCATTTTATGCCTGAAGCTACTTTTACACTCATTTACAATCAGGATTAATTTATTCCTCTATAAAAAGGTGAGAACTTTTTAAGGAAACGGGTCAAAGGCTTCTGGTTCTAGAGCATAGAGATGAGGTCTTCACAGTCCAAAAGAGAACCTCTGTGGTTTGGTAGAACAGCATCATGGATGTTTACTCTTCATTGGGTCTGATGGAGACCTTCAGCTGCGGCTCACTCTGCTGTTTCTGTCTCCAGGAGGCAGACTATGGTCAAGGCATGGGCCAGCAGGGGGCGCCCACCTCCTTCTCCAATCAGATGTGAGGCGATAGGACGCTGGTGAGTGCAGGTGATGCTTGATATGAAACCGACTGAAGCTGAGGAGAGCCTCAGGGTTTGCTGAGGATCATCTGATGTTGGCTTTCCTTCACAGGAAGCGGCGGAGTGAACCAGCAGTGGGTCGCCTGCAACCTACCCACAGTGCAACACTCCTGTCTGCCTGCAGCAGCGCCGTTCCTGGGTGGGGTGGGTGGGCGGGGTTTATGGGATGATGTTTACTGCAGTGAATCAGTGTGTCTAAATGAGAAACCCGCAGCATGAAGAAGCCGTGCTGAGTAGAACCAATGTTGATCAGAGTTCTCTGTGTTCGGGTCTGTTTCTGTGGACAGAATGTATGTTGTGTTGTATAGCTATCTACTTCAGCAGATCTATAATAGAGACTCAATCCTTTCCTCTCCTTCCCTATTGGACCCCAGGATTGGTGTTGTCCTAAGCCCCGCCCCTAAAACCAGATTCTCAGCTGCCGACCATGATGCTGTTCAGACTGAGTTCAATAATCTGATTCAAAATAAACCCAACCAATAAAAACACCATGAGCCGCTTCTCCACCTGCTGCGCCTCCCAGCTGTTTATCTTTCAGCATGTAAATAACCACACAGGAAGTGATGTCATTCTGGACTTATAACGAGCACAGTCTGAACACCGTCATGTTGGCCCTTCATAGAAACAAGATACGAATAGCTTCCTTCCATTGTGATCAATTCATGCAACATTTCCGCTGGATAAATGTCCAACTGAAGGACCAGGCATCAATCTGAAGGTCCAACGTCTGAATGAAGGTCCAAACGTCTGAATGAAGGTCCAAACATCTGAATGAAGGTCCAAATGTCTGGAGAAAGGTCCAACGTCTGAATGAAGGTCCAAATGTCTGAATGAAGGTCCAACGTCTGAATGAAGGTCCAAACGTCTGAATGAAGGTCCAAATGTCTGAATGAAGGTCCAAATGTCTGAATGAAGGTCCAAATGTCTGAATGAAGGTCTAAATGTCTGAATGAAGGTCCAACGTCTGGATGAAGGTCCAACGTCTGGATGAAGGTCTAAATGTCTGAATGAAGGTCCAACGTCTGAATAAAGGTCCAAATGTCTGAATGAAGGTCCAAATGTCTGAATGAAGGTCTAAATGTCTGAATGAAGGTCCAATGTCTGGATGAAGGTCCAAATGTCTGAATGAAGGTCCAAACGTCTGAATGAAGGTCTAAACGTCTGAATGAAGGTCCAACGTCTGAATGAAGGTCTAAATGTCTGAATGAAGGTCCAACGTCTGAATGAAGGTCCAAACGTCTGAATGAAGGTCCAAATGTCTGAATGAAGGTCCAACGTCTGAATGAAGGTCCAACGTCTGAATGAAGGTCCAACGTCTGGATGAAGGTCCAATGTCTGGATGAAGGTCCAATGTCTGGATGAAGGTCCAATGTCTGGATAAGGGCCCAAATGTCCATCTAAAGGTCTAAACATTTTTCTGAAGGTCCAAATAAAGGTCTAGGTGTTTCAATGAAAGTCCAAATCTTTTTCTTAAAGGTCATAACGTCCAAATGAGGATCTTGATGTCAAAATGTAAGTTAAAATTCATTGAAAGGTCAAAATACCCACATGAAGATCTGGAGATCTAGTTCTTCTTCTCGGGTTTTATTTTTGGGTGGCTGAAGATCTAGCTCCTTGTGATGTGTTTTTTGTTTTTTTTATGATTCGAAAACTGATGCTCAGTATGACTACTTCCTGTTTCCTGTACAGGTGTGTGAGGTCATTTCCTGTTGATGCCTTTCACACAGTTTTCTCCTCTTCCTCACCTGCTATGCAGCATTATATGTTCTTTCATCTTCCTCCACCACTCTTCATCCTTTTGTCTCTTCCTCAGTTGCTCTTCATTTCTCTCCTCTTGGACTTGGTGATGTAAGTTCCTGTGAGATATATTCTGCCCCAAGCATCTGTAACCATGGTGATGGTTTTGCAAGTGATGGGGGTTTGTATGACTTGTTGCCATGGAGATCCCCTCCCCGGTGTTTCTTCAGTAAAAAGAATAAAAACAATAAATGATAATCTCAATTCTTGTGTTGTCTAAGATGAACAGATGAATGAGTGAACAAACTGATCAGTATACAAATGGATGAGTGAAGCTGCAGATCAGAACCTAAACAGATGGAGTAAGCAAACCAATCAGAACATGAATGGGTGAAGTGAGAGATCATTACCTGAGATGATGAATAAGTGAGCTGATGATTCAATACACACATAGATGAATGGTTGAAGAGAAAAATCAGTACTTATACTATTGAACATTGGATAGATGAGATAGATGAGTGAAACAACAGATTAATGACCGATTAACATATGGATCAGGACCTAAGTAGATGAATGAGTGAACAGATGGATTGGTATCATAACTGATAAAAGAGTGAAGTGACAGATCAGCCAATGAGCAAGCATTTGATCAGTACCTGAATGGATGAATGAGTGAGATGACTGATCAGTACCTGAATGGATGAATGAGTGAGAGGATATAAAATATATTTGTCATGAAACCACAACATAGCAAGTATTTGAACCTCCTGCTATTTTGAAAGTTCACCCACTTAGAAATCATGGAGGGTCTGAAATTGTCATCATAGGTGCATCTCCACTCTGAGAGATATAATCTAAAAAAAAAATAAAAAAAATTTACCGTATATCACAATATAATTTAACTATTTATTTCTATAATTCAGCAGAAAATAAGTATTTGAGCACCTGAGAAAATCAATGTCAATATTTGCTACAGTAAACTTTGTTTGCAATTCCAGATGTCAGTTTCCTGTAGTTTTTCACCAGGTTTGCACACAGTGCAGGAGGGATTTTGGCCCATTCCTCCACACAGATCAGCCACCTCAATTCGGGAAATTCTTGCCTATTCTGCATACCCAAATGAAAAAGCAAATAACTTAGGAACTGTAAACCCAAATTACATTTGCAATACATCATTTGGAAGCTAAGACCCTTAGTTTCTGAATATATAAATTAAATTCAATATGCTGGATTACTTTTAGTCTGTGGACCCTTGTGGACGATTGGAGAATAAACAATTGAAGATTGGATTTATAAAACAGCTTCAAACCATGACCTCTTAGCGTATTACCAACGGTAACCATGGAAACGGTGGTCCCAGCTCCTCAGGTGTAGTTCTGGGTGGATTTCTCACCTTTCTTAGGATCATTGAGGCCCCACCAGGTGAGATCTTGCATGGAGCTCCAGTCAGAGGGAGATTGACCGTCATGTTTAGCTTCTATTTCCTAATGATTCCTCCAACAGTGGAGATTTTTCCACCAAGCTGCTTGGTTATTTCCCTGCAGCCCTTTCCAGCCTGGTGGAGCTGGAACATTTAGTCTGTAGTGTCTTTGGACAGCTCCTTGGTCTCAGCCATGTTCTTAGCAGGATTCTTACTGATTGTCTGGGGTGGACAGGTGTCTTTATGCAGCTAACGACCTCAAACAGGTGCATCTAATTCATGATAATAAATGGAGGTGGATATGAAGGCAGACTAACAGGTCTTTGAGGGGAAGAATTCTAGCTGATAGACGGGTGGTCAAATACTTATTTTTGGCTGTATCATAAAAATCAATAGTTCTAAAATCATATATTTCTGTTTTTTTTTTTAGATTATGTCTCTCAGAGTGGACATTCACCTATGATGATCATTTCAGACCCTCCATGATGTTTGCATTTGCAAAACAGCAGGGTGTTCAAATCCTTATTTTCCTCACTGCAACTAGATGTAATATTTATTGTAGGACATGATCCAGATATTAAATATACCGTTAAATTGCAAAATGCCGCATTAATGAATTGAATGTCTCTTCAAAAGATAGAAAATACATTTAAAATGATTAAGTATGAAAATGCTATTTGCAAAAAAGAATGCATTTAAGGTAGAATGCATTTATAAATATAAACTGAGGTAATCTTTGTATTTTTAAGAGGCCTCTATTTGTTTAGGAGAGTTTTAAATTTGCTCAGTCCTGTTTAACCCTTTAGTTCCTGACAAAGCAAAGCTCTCCTCCTCCTCTCCTGAGTCATCGCCCCTCCCCCCTCCTTCCTTCGGCGTGTCGGAGCCTCAGTGTGTGTCTCCCTCCATCTGCAGCATGGCGTCTCTCAGCCTCCTGCTGCTCGCTGCCTCTCTGATTCACACCACTCAGGTAAGACATCCACCCATTTTCATTGTCTTCATATCTAGCTCCTCCATGCAGGACCGTGATGCTGCATCGTCACGGTAACATGATACAGAATGATGCTGTGGACCTTCGATGTGACTTACGTCACCCCTATGTGTGTGTGTGTGTGTGTGTGTGTGTGTGTGTGTGTTCTGCTTCTTCATGACTGACTGAGGAGCTTTTGAACCATTCAATAAAAAATATTTGCGTCTTTCAGCAAAGCACAGATTTAATTCTTCAGGTATATCTGAAAGCTGTCGGAGGGTCCTTTTGGTTCTGTTTCTACTTGTGTTGAGATCAGACCAGAACCTGTGCAGAAACCGGGATAAACACAATATGCAGGATGCCTCTGAGAGTCCTAACAAAGATGGCAGCAAACAAACGAGCGTGTGTGCGTGTCTCAAGCGGCTGCGACATTTTATTTCTTCTGCTGTCACCCTGACAACAGGAAATGGTCACCCACAGCAACAAGACAGCGTAATACACAGGATGCAGCAGGTCACCTTACACCACTACTCCACCTATGTGTGTAGAAACAGACAGAAGGACCAAAATCACTGGATTTCTTCCATCAGTGCTGTTATACAGCTAAGAACAGATTTTAGATGTTCTATGCTGACTTTTCTGTCTGTTTTAGTGATATAATACAACACAGTTAGTTCCTGACTGATTGCATAACCACTGTTTTTGATCACAAAGGTGACCTGTTATATATTTATGTATACAAATATATACAATTCAGTTTATTTCTATAGCTCCAATTCCCATCATGTCATCTCAGGTCACTTTCCAGTTCACCAGATCATCCAGTCAGATTGATTCAAAGTTTTCTATCTAAGGAAAACCAGCTGATTGCATCGACTCATTGACTCTTCAGCAATCCCTCACACTAAGCATGCTTGTAGCGACAGTGGAGAGGAAAAACTCCCTTTGAACAGGAAGAAACCTCCAGCAGAACCAGGCTCAGTGTGAGCGGCCATCTGCTGAGGCCCACTGGGGTTCAAGGAGACAGAAGCAGACATAGAAAAAGAAGCATAGATACAAAAGGCAACTGTCAACCAGCTCCACAGGCGGCCCCGTCCAGGAAACACACAGCCAGGCAGACGAGCTCCGAGCCAGCTCCCATGTCAGAGGATGAAGAGAGCACATCCAGTTAGTCACAGTCAGAGAAACAGGACTACACTGGAAAACAGGCCAAGCTCCAACATCTAGAAACAAAGGTGTTGATGGCAGCAGCACAGCTGATATTTCTCTCCAGGATGGAGTCACAGCCAAACAGGAACAGACCAGATGAAGCTACTATGAGAAAAAGCAGAGAGAGCAGAACGTTAGAGATTGAACTAACAGATTCTGCAGAGTGGGAGAATAGAGATAGAATGAAGCAGAATGATGAAAAAGGGGTCCCTATGTCCTCCAGCAGTCTAAGCCTTTAGCAGCAGAACTATAGAGATAGCTCAGGATAACCTGAGCCACTCTAACTAGAAGCTTTATCAAAAAGGAAAGTTTTAAGCCTAGCCTTAAAAGTAGACAGGGTGTCTGCCTCACAGACTAAAACTGGTAGTTGGTTCCACAGGAGAGGAGCCTGAGAACTAAAAGATCTGCCTCCCATTCTACTCATGCAGATAAAAAAATGTAGCTGTTTTTGCATCACTGGACCTTTTCTCCTGAAACATGCAGCCCTGTAACTTGGTTCCATTGGTTCTACTGTAGAACATGACTGATCTCTAACGAAACATGTCCTGGTTAAAATGGTCAGTTCTGTGTTAGTGAGGACATAGAGGTTGGCTTGTTATCATGTTAAGCTGGAAATCATTAACTTTATTACCATGCAGGTAAATTGGTTTCAGCCAGGGTCCGTTGCCATCGGTTACATCATTTTCAGCCCGGGGTATGAAAACACGGAGCAGCTTTTAACCTCTTCTCCTGAAACGCAGAGGCTTTCTTTATTAAAGGGTGTCCTTTGGATCAGAGAGAGTCAGAGATTGATGCTGCTCCCAGGACTCATCATCTCCTCCTCCTCTTCATTACTCAGACTGATGGTTATAACTCTTCCTGAGGACGATAATCAGCGTTGCAGAAGAGCCATAGATATTACAGCCATAAATCAGAGGTGGAGGGGGGATATTAAAGCTGCTGTGGTAGAGAATCTGGATCATCAATCCAAAGCATTCTCATGCCAGGAGGAGGAGCAGGAGAGACAGAACCAGCCTCATCTCTTAACATCCGTCTCTGGAAATGAGATGAAGCCCTCTGAGCAGACGCCTCCAATTTCCTGCCGAGTCATCAGCTGTTACAGAAACATCATCTACAGACGGGATGAAAAATCTCTCAGCAGATTGCTGACTCACCGTTAAAGCTTTGAAAACTGCTGACTCACTGCTACATCCCAGGGGTGATGCTGCTGAACTTGTCATTAAGGCAGGCGAGATAACAAATAGATCGTTGTGATGCTGAAGGTCCAAACAAACGAGCTCGGTGTTATCATGTCTGAGCCAGGAAAGTTCTGACCAGTTCCTCCTCACAACTCCTTGATGGGTCCTTAACTGGTCCCCAAAGATTCCCTTTTTAAACATCAATCTTTGTACTAAAATATTCTTTCTGTCATGATTTTTGGACATTAAGAAAAGCGTCTGTAATTCAGAGTAAAAACCTATGCATGCCCAGGATGAAAAGTCGGCTGAGTACAAAACATAGAAAAGAAAAGGAACAAGAAGAGAGGGACACAACCTAGAACAGATAATGGATGTCTATTCTATTAACATTTATCTATCTGTAGAATGGGGCTGTTCTATGTGTTGTCTTCTCTATTCAGAGGGGCCCCTGCCTCTCTTTGCTTAGGGCCCCAAATTTCCTAAATCCGCC